CATACGTTCCCTTATTTTAAAGTAACCTTTTGGAAATTAAAAAAGATAGTTCACCCATAAAGTGAAAAGTTACTTACCACTTACTTTCAAATGATTCCAATTGTAAATAATATTACTAATTCCTACTGGAAAATCAAGCTAATACCAGCTCAAGCTGTGTTTTGAAACAGGTAGCTATATAGCTGATGAAACTGGTAGCTGGTGGAAACCCCTACTGACAACAAATTGCAGTTTATGTAGTTGCATGGTTTTCAATAGCAAATTTAATAATATATTTTCATTGGTAGATGTATTGCTTTGTTGATGATGATGATTATTATGATTTGCTAACAACAGCTTTCAGATATAAAATGTGTCCCTAGCCAAGAAATGATGCACATTCCGGTGGTATAATTTTACTTAATACATGTGAACATGGCGAGGCAGTGGTGCAGTAGGTAGTGCTGTTGCCTCACAGCAAGAAGGTTGCTGGTTCGAACCTTGGCTTCGAACCTTCGAAAGTTGGCGTTTCTGTGTGGAGTTTGTATGTTCTCCCTGCCTTCTCGTGGGCTTCCTCAGGGTGCTCCGGTTTCCCCCACAGTTCAAAGACTTGTATGAGTGTGTGTGTGGATGTTTCCCAGAGATGGGTTGCGGCTGGAAGGGCAAACTTGCTGGATAAGTTGGCAGTTCATTCCGCTGTGGCAACCCCAGATTAATAAAGGGACTAAGCCGACAAGAAAATTAATGAATGAATGAATCAGTAAACATTTTTAATTAAACAATACATTTAAAAAATACATTACTTGAATTACATTAATTACATTACTTAAATGAATATTTAATTAAATGCTACTTTACATATTTACTGTACTATTTACTATACTAATTAAACTATTAGTAACTGGTTGTGTTGAAAGTCCCTCTTTTAACTGTTTTCATATTAATGTCTTCATTTTTTTTCTGTTAGATAATCGCAAGTTTTCCTGCTCTGGCTTAACAAAAACAACAACTACAAGACTTAATTTAAAGTTATAATGCATATATATTTAACACATTTCATGTGGGGGCTCTATATAAATTAAACAACAGTTCATTATCATATGTGACATAGGGGGAGCATATCAAATAAAAGCACCAAAATCAACATTTGTATGCCATATAAACAAATACAACATATTTAAACTCACTTGACTTTAAAATCTAACAATCTATCGCTGAATCTGTTGACTTAGAAAAGAATCACGTTCTCTAGAAAGATGACTCAAAAGAATTGGTGAGTAAATTCGTTTGAAGGGATCGGCTGAACGAACCGATTCAAAAAATGATTCGCGCTTCCCAATGCAGCTGCAGTTCTGAATCGGTCACACCAATATGGCTGACTCGACCTGAGACTAAAATATTAACTAGGTAATAATGAATTTGCTGACAAAAAACTAACCTGTACAACAGACTATATATAGACAGATCATAAACACTGAACTGTGGATTAATTTTCAAATTAATTTGGGAATGTTGCCATCAAAAGGAAAACCAAATGTATTCCTCCAAATTACATTATGGCTGTACCTGTCAACATGACTCATATTGTTTTGATTTCAAAGAACACAATGTTTTCCCCATTATTCAGTGTTCTTTTATTTTGCATCTCAATTATACAAATGAATTGTAATGCCACGCAGCAGTTCTGAATGCACTGATCTGTGCTGTGCGCCTACACACACACACTCCAGGGACGCTGGGACAGGATGGATGTGTGCAGGCTTTGTCTTTCAGACACATCCCAAAATTCCTTCCAGTGACGTGTAACAGTGAGATGAGTGACCCCGGGGTCACAGTTCTGCACATCAGCCAATCACTGCTTTCTGCAGGGGTGGCACATATCCAGCCAAGGGGCCCTCTGCAAACACCTCTACAGCCACTCCATGTTCATTAAGTCATTTTTATTTGAATATTAAAGACAAATACTGACTCTACAGTCACTATCATTATAATATGTGACATAAAACAGTGAAAGTGTTTGAAAAAAATGCAAGAATATTGATTTTCACTAAAATTCATTTATTTATTCATTTTCTTTTTAGCTTAGTCCCTTTATTAATCAGCAATTGCCAAAGCGGAATGAATCGCCAACTTATCCAGCATGTGTTTTACGCAGCGCATGCCCTTCCGGCCACAAACTAACACTGGGAAACACCCATACACTGTTGCATTTTCACCCACATACACTACAGTCAATTTAGCTAATTTAATTCACCTACTCATTTATGCTAAGCACTGTAGAACCATACAATAACAAAAAGCCCAGATACTAGATTTAAGCATGTATTTTGAATTTAGCTTTTCACTTTAGAGTTATATACAGTTAAAGTCAAAATTATTAGCCCCCCTGATTTATTAGCAATGCTGTATATTTTTTCCCCCAATTTCTGTTTAATGGAGAGAATTTTTTCAACACATTTCTGAACATAATAGTTTAATAATTCATTTCTAATAACTGATTTATTTGATCTTTGCCAGGACGAGAGTACATAATATTTAACTAGATGTTTTTCAAGACACTTCTATACAGCTTAAAGTGACATTTAAGGCTGAACTAGGTTAATTAGGTTAACTAGGCAGGTTAGGGTAATTAGGCAAGTTATTGTATAATGATGGTTTGTTCTGTAGACTATCAAAAAAATATAGCTTAATGGGGCTAATAATTTCCACATTAAAATGGCTATTAAAAAATCAAAAACTGCCGAAATAAAACAAGACTTGTTTTATTTCGGCAGAAAAAAAGACTTTCTCCAGAAGAAAAAATATTACCAGACATACTGTGTAAATTTTCTTGCTCTGTTAAACATCATTTGGGAAATATTTAAAGAGCCCATATTATACATGAAATAGGGTCATATCTTGGTTGTAAGGGTCTCCAACAACAGTTTAATATGCATGCAAGGTCAAAAAACACTTTCATGGTCTTATAATCTGCATTTATTTTTACCTAATTATCCCAGCGACTCCTGTATGAATCGTCCAGTGATTCATTTGTTCCCAAACCCCTCCTTAGCGCGAAGCTAATCTGCGCTGATTGGACCAATGACAGTCTGTTGCGATTGGTTGACTGCCTTCAGTCAGAGAGTGAAAAGCCAAACAGCTAATCAGCAATATAAAGGAATCACAGTTCATACACGATAGTGTAGGCGTGGATTTTAGCTGCCAGTGGGTCAATGTAAATACAGACTATGGACTTGAAAATTCAGACGACTAACTATTTTATTGAGCAAAAACTCCAAAAACAGTTGAGGAGATCTCCTAGCTTCTCACTCTGCTCTTTTCACAGACACACACACACATATTGTGCACACACACACACACGCGCACTTAACCCTGCTCCGGACGACAACGCGCGCGCGCGCACACACACAAACACACACACACACACGTTGTGTTGGCAAAACAAGCGTGAAGTGTTGCTTTTATAGTTTGCTGCAGTTAAGTTTCGTTTTCATTTTCTCTCTGTGAGAGCTCAGACTCACGCGTGGATTAACAGTGTACGCGACGCGCGACAACAATAACTTACGTGTCTAAGGAGGATTATTGTTTACCTGAGAGCTGTTCTCATCTGCAAACGCTGAGATCCAGATTGTAGTCTCCTCTAAATAAAGACGCGGCTCTAGTTGCTGGTGATTGTCCTGTCTCTACAGATTTGGTAAGTGAGCGACCAGTGCTCTTTGTTTATTCAGTTCGTATTTTATTCGTATCAAACAAACTATTGCACCGAGTACAATAGTTAGCACTAACAGTTACAGTCAAACTATAACCTCGTGTTGGATTTTGTGACCGGAATAACACACGCGGCTTTCTGACGCTAACGTGACTTTGCACGCGATAAGAGAATATAGCCAGTTAACCTGATACAGTACACGCGGTTACAAGTAACAAATCACAACTAAATACATTTGCAAGCTAGAGTCAACGAGGCAACTTTAATCGCACGTATTTACACTTGAGAAATGGAGGAAGAAAAATCCATCCTGACGTCCATCAGTAAGTTACACTTTACTGATCCTTCCTTTAACAAACGCTGATTAAGTATTCTTTGTAGCATGTAGTTTGCATTAGTTTCCAGTAGTTTCCAACTGCTTGGCTATAATGCTGAGGTTTCATCTTTGGGTAGAGACTCAATATATCCATCTGCAGTGTGACTTCAATCAACCGGCATGTTTGTGTGTTTGTGGGTGTGTGTGTGTGTGTGTGTGTGTGTCTGGGTTTCTGCGTCAGAGGGCGGGGCCTCAGGTTTGAAATCTCCCGGGTTTGCGCGTGCACGTGAATAACTTGGTTTCGTTCGTACGTCATGGCGAAACGCCTAATGAATCGGTATCAAGGCGACTCGTTTGAAGCACTATGAGTCGACTCTTTTATAGATGAATCAACAGTTTTAAACACTGTACACTAACAGATTTAAGCCTTAGCTGGATACTTCACTTCACTTAGAGCTGTGTTACACACTACATGGAGGGGAATTTTCAAAAACCCATAATATGGGCTCTTTAAAAAAATAATGGTGCATTTAAACAAAACAGACCTATTAAACAGATATTTATTCAAATAATATTTTAGTCACCAAAACATATTTAGAAATTGAAAGATAATACAATTAAATTCAAGCAAAATATTGCAAACAAATTACAACCTACAAAATTTCAACTTTTTGCTTCTCTTGATTGTTCCTTTTTTTATAAATGTGTATTTAAGATTTTTCTATAACATATACATTTGGGTGTACTATTTTTTGGACGGTTATTGTAGTTTTTTTGTTATATTAGCTCCAGATTTGGCTTCAGTACTGACTAATCTAATGTATATGCACAAATATAATATTATATAGATTCCTATTAAAAATGTGAATTTAAAAAGTAGATTTGTGAGGGATTGACTTATATATGCTCGCAAAATACATCCAAGATATTTCTGCCAATATATTCTGCAAGAAAGTTTCCCTCAAAACATATGAAATAAACACAGAGACGATAACAAAAACCCAGACAGCATTTTCTATTAAAGAGGATTTCACACAACGATACGAGCCACTCCAAAAACAGTGCAAGGACTGGCAGAGTGTTACACAATCTCTTCATTACGGCTGCAGTCCATCCTCAGGCAGAGCTGCAGTTTGGACCTCACTTCCCTTTGATCCACTGCTTTTCAGGAAATTGTGTAGGCAACTCCTTTCAATTTAAAAAAATATATTCCAAAAGACTGAGCTTTTAGATTCATTCATAATGAAATAATAACTGTTATTTATGTTTTAACATAAGACTTTACAGACATATACTTTCAAAGAAATAAATGAGATCTAAGCAATCATATTCCCCAAGTGGAATATATGCTTCAAGAACATAGCAATCATTTTATTTTTCTTGTAACAAACAGCCTTGTAGTATTAGGTTCACTCCCTTACTGACATGAATCATAATTAACAGCCTATACTTTTTTCTGTTGAGCACAAAAGAAGATATTTTGAGGAATGTTGGACCCAGTAACTACTGGTATTCCAGGAAAAACAAATACTATAGATGTCAATCGCTACATTTTAAAAAATATTGTCTTTTGTGTTCACCAGAAGAAAAAATCTTGTGGTTTGAAAGCATTTGTGGTATAAAAAAACTGAGTAAATCTTGTTGTTGTTGTTGTTCACATTCCCTTTAACTCAGTTGCAGAATGTGAACATCATTTACAAATACAATATTTACAAAATAAATCTGTCTTTCACTTTCATTTTCTGAGAAACAAACATTAAAGAGTTAAATTAAGTGTCCATAGAAATGTCCTTGACCCTAAAAAAGAGACCTGAGAAACTACTTGCATGCTTCAAATCTTGACGCACCTGTATTTGTGAAGCTGAGACCTCAAAGACTTAACTTTAAGTCTGTTTAATCAACCCTCCAGATGGCGATTCTGCCTTCAAGTTTTGCAGAGCCACTGAGTACGTATCGGTCCTCAACTGAGAACAGCACTTGAACACTGTCTTCATGAGCCTCCAGCTCCTTCTCCACCTCCAAGCTCTCAGAGTCCAACACCAAGATCTTCCCCACAACCTTACTGAGACCCGAACCACCACCACAACCAATCCAGACCTACAAAAAGAGGAGATTCTTAGTGTTCTTTAAAATGACTTAACAACATACAATGTAATGCTCTCATATTATCTCATATTATAAATGTGAATTTACCAGCCTGATCTCACGAGAAAACGTAAGTATTTTACGTTTTGCCAGTTTAGTGGTTAATTCATACGAATTCGTACGAGTTCAGTCGTACAAAATGGTACGATTTTAAAAAGGAGGCGTGGCACCTAACCCCACCCCTAACCCCAACCGTCATTGGGGGATAGGCAAATCGTACTAAATTGTATGAATTAGATTGTACGAATTCATACGAATTAGCCACTAAATGAAAAAGTTACGAATTGCCGTGAGATTGTGTTGGAATTTACACATATTAAATTCTCAGACAAGCAAATGCCATCTTTACACCTTACTTTAAGATGTTTTCCTTCATCTTTTCAAATACGTTTTTATTCTCATACTTTTATTCAGTAATATTTCTGTACCACGCTGAGCAGTCCAGCAAAACTGATTTAGAGCATGAAGAAACTGATAAAAGTGATGAAAAAAGGGGTTGTAAGAGACATATTTTAAAGTTCAAGAGGGCTTGTTAAAGGAATAGTTCACCAAAAAATAAAAATGCACTTTAAGTTATTAAATTTAATAATTAATGAAATTATTAGTTTTTCCTTCTGTAAAACAAAAAAAGAAGATGTTTTGAAGAAAGCTGAAAACCTGTAATAATTAACTTAAATATAGAAAAAAATACTGTGGAAGTTTACAGGTATCCGGCAAATATCTTGTGTGTTCAACAGAAGAATGAAAGTTGAATGAGTTAGGAACAAGCCAAGGGAAAGTAAATGATGACAGGATTTTAATTTCATCTCTTTAATATTTTGGGAGTCAGTGAGAGTTTTTTATTCTAGAAAAAAGTTATTTTAGGCTGGGTACACAATAAAAGATCTTTTACATTTTATATGATTTTCAAAATGTTAGAGACACAAAAATGAGGACAAAACTTCTTAGAATTTCACTGTCTTGTGTAGTGTGCATTCCTTCCAACATTGGGAAGTGAAAACAAGGGATAAGGCATCCCAGCAGGCACACAACATCATAAGATGTTAATATTAGGTTGGATTTAGGTTGTGATGTCAGCTGACCAAAATTCAATGTCTCGCCAGCATATAAGGACAACTTTAATTTGATGTCCAATAACAACGTTGATATTTTATTGATTTTGAACTTTTTAATGTTTAAAAATTTAATTTATTTATATGACCCACCAGAATATTGCTAGAGTTCTGATTTGGTACTTTAAGAATATTTCTTTTATCAGATCCTTAATATTTTTTTTGTTGGAAACTGTACTGTTTAAAAAGATTCTCTGAAAAACAGAAATATTAATGGAACAACAAGACTAGAGGAAATATAATGCAAACTTGGACGCTTTGATCGAAACAGCAAAGACTAGTTTGAGCCTCGGTTGGGAATTTCTGAGTGGAGTTCCTCAGAGTGCTCCGGTGTCCCCCACAACTCCAAAGACGTGCTATAGCTACAAATTGTTCACAGTGCATGTGAGTGCATGAGAGTGTATGGGTGTTTCCCAGAGATGGGTTGCAGCTGGAAGGGCATTCGCTGCGTAAAACATATGCAGGATAAGTTGGTGGTCCATTCCGCTGTGGCGACCCCAGATAAATAAAAGGGACTAAGCCGAAAAGAAAATGAATGAATGAATGAATGAATGAATGAATGAATGAATGAATGAATTATTGTCCTGCAGGAGCAGAAAAGCTCGTAACAAAGTGCTGCATCTCAAGAATATTACTTTTGTTGAGCCTTTTGTTTTCTGCTGATATGTTAAAATTGATGCTTTTTAATTCAATTATTTAACTTGACAGCTAGCATTAAAAAAATTACATAGAGTTAGACATGCACATTGTTGCATTCTGGCATCGCCACCTGGAAATGTATTCATTTTTATTTAAGATTTATTGATAAATTTGTGCAAACACGGTTCTCTTATGACCAGCGGTCTGATTTATAAAATGTGTGGAGAAACCTTCCTAAAAGTGAACGTACACTCATTATGGCTGTATGATTTATGTGGTTTATTTAAGTTAGAGATTACTTACAACTGTGCACATTCTCCCATCAAGTTTATCTTAAAATAGATTGCACCTTGTGCTTGGGAAGCGCACACACTTTTTGCCATTTCAATGTTTATAAATAAAAACCCAGGTTACTGATTCACATATAAACTAGGAAAACAGATTATTTCAATATTAAACAGATTTTGTGAGTTATCAACATACTACAGTGTGTATCTTTTTGTTTAATACTGTAAAGCTTTGAAACAATCTCTGTTATGCTATTAAACTAAATGCGACTTGAGTTACCTGCTTCTTCACTTTGATCATACAGGTGACCCCTTTGCAGTTTGGAAGCTTGAGCCGTTTGGGTGGTTTGACAGGGTCATTAAAGTCCCATATGCAGAGCTCTGCAAAGTCTGTGAAACTAGTCCAGATCTGTTGTCTCTAAAAAACACAAAATCAAAAGCCTGAGATCATTGGTTATATCTGAGCACATTATAATTTCATGCAGCTCACACCATTTAGTGGCATGGCTGACCTCTCTGACTGTCTGGGTGTTAAACGTGTTTGTGCAGACACTATGAAACAGCAGACAGAAAAAGATGAAACACAACGACTACGCAGAGATATCATAAATCTTGATTTTTAATATAATAAATACTGAAACAAACCTCTGGAAACAGTGTAACTCTGTTGAAGAAATTGGCCGTAGCTTTCATTTTGTCTGGGAGGTGAATTTTCCAAAGCTGATCTCCATTAGGCTTCAGCATCATTATACAGTCCCTGGCACCTTCACATACAATGAAAAAATTAGTATAAATTCAGATTGTTATTGTAAATTCAGAATTCAAATATTTAATATTTAAATAAAATGTTAATTTCATAGCACTCTGAAAGTAAATAAATAAATAAAACGCTATTGTTTGTAGTTAACAACAGTGCTTGATTTGTTAGGTTGATGATAAACTCACCACACCATAAGGCTCCATTGTGAATCTGAATGGACTGCAGTCTGTCACAGGACAGATGAAACTGCCTCTTTACTTTAAGAGATGGGACGTCCCAAACGATCACAGTGCCATCTGCACTACAGGAGTACACCTGCGCTCGACTTGGAGAGAACATCAAAACAACATTTCTTAGTATTCACAAGTACAGCTGACAAATCTGGAGAAAATATGATAAACAATGCTGCCACCTGCTGGTAAAAAAACTCCAAATCATTTCACTATTGTATTTTCACAATATTTGAAGAATCTATCTATCTATCTATCTATCTATCTATCTATCTATCTATCTATCTATCTATCTATCTATCTATCTATCTATCTATCTATCTATCTATCTATCTATCTATCTATCTATCTATCTATCTATCTATCTATCTATCTATCTGTGTATACTATACTATATAATACTATAATATATAATGTATAATCTTAATTTCTCATTCATTTATTTATATTATTGTATATTAATATTGTAATATTAAGCTAATTATATAAAATTATTTAACATATTATTGTTTTGTTTATTATAATAGTGTTTTAGACAATACAATAACAAAACATAATAATGTTTGAAACATTTACATTATTACTTTTTATATAATAAACAAAAATATATACATTAAAATATATAAAAATAATACATTATCACATTACTGCATTATTCATTTATATATTTTCAATAAAACGCATGTAAAATATTACCAAAATAAATAATAACAATAAAATAAAAATATTTGTTTAGTATTATTATGCTTTATTATGGAGTTTATTATTTAATTCATTAAATAATCCATCGATAGTAAACAAACACCACACACGCGCATGCACACGTGCACGAGCACACTCTTTATATCTACATCTAGTTTATACATACACAGACCAGGCATTTAGTCTTAGTGAATACAGTCACCTTGATCTGCTCTCAGGGCTCAGTTTCTCCAGGGTGAAGTCTGTTAGCTCTCCTCTGTGCTCTGTCAGCTGTTTATGACACAGCATACTGCGAGTGTTGATTATATAAATCACAGAGTCCTCCGAGCCAATCCACACCTGATCCTGGTCCAGTCCCATCATGCAGTTCTGGGAACAAATAAATAAACTTTCATTTTTCCCTTAAAAATAGATCCAAAAACTTCAGTGATGAATATAAGGACATTAGAACACAAAGCTGCCATGGTTTTTCTATCCACAAGGTGGTGTCATTCACATTTGATAAACTGTCAACAGGTAAACAATCAAATATGTGTTATTTAAAAATCTAAGTATTGAGAAAATTAATAAATAGAGGATGACAAATTGATCAAGGACATACAACATCTGACAGTGTCATTGATTAATTCACTGATAAAAAAGATTTTGTTATGAAGTAAATACTCCAGAAAGATCTTGAAATAGACTAGAATCATTTTTAAATAATTTAGTTCAGGCAAAAATAAAAATGAAAAAGTAAAGTTTTACAGTTTTAAATTAATATGTTTGTGTATGTTTATTTACAGTGATCCAACAGTGAAATATCAAAGTAAATAAATAAATAAATAACCTACTCAAATGTATAATACAAGAGATTTACCTGAAAAAAACTTGTGAAAGACTTGCAAATTATAATTAGATATTTTTTCAGTCTGTTATTTTCAATATGATAAAATAATTATTTTACATCTTACCAGTCGAGAATCTCCTAAATGAATGCAGTTTTGCTTTAGCGACCAACTGGCAGCATCAAACACAACCACTTTTCCACAGCCGAGACCACACCACAGCTTTGGATTAACATCCACATCACTGTCAGGGAACGTTAGCTGGCCTGAAGAGAGTTTAAAAAAAAAGGGTTATCTAAAATATATAAGTACCAGGGAGAACCAAACAAGTGGTTTTCATATACTGTAGAAATGCTGGGTTCCACACTTCTTTTAAGAAAACATGAAGGAATTAAGTTAAATTACTAGTTTTTACAAATGTAAGTGGATTTAACATAAAACAAATAAGTAGTTTGAACAAATAGCAAACAACATTATTTGAATGTAGCTATAAAAGAACCTTTTAGTAAAAAGCAATTTTTGTTGTTGTTTGAAGAATATGTTAATGATTTAAAAAAAACTTTTGTGAAATGAAAAGATTTAAAACACTTTAACTCCCGACATTTTGTTAGCTCTTTGCAAGTTTTGAAATTATAAAAACTGCAATACATATTCACAAAAAACTAACAAGATACGATTTTCTTACATGACAAAACATACCATGGGCACAGACATGAGTATTTTTTAGCATCTGAGAACTTGTGAAGTGTTTATAAAGTGTGTAAAGGAGTTGATAAAAAAGAAAAAAATATATGTTTGAGCATTCTATACAATTTTTGGACTTATTTTGTAACAATGTTCTGTGTTTGGTCAATGTTGTCCTAATATTTAATTTGATCCGCACCAGAATATTTGGCGTGCCAAAATATTCTTCAGACTCAGAGTATTTTCTTTTGTGTTGAACAGAATAAACTCTGAGTCTGAAGAATAGCGGTAAGCATAGACTTCCATAGTTTACTAGTTGCTCCTATAAATGTCAATGACTTCTAATGGTTTCTAACAGTTCAAAATATCTTCTTTTTGTGTTTAACAGAAAAATGTAACTCTAATTTGAAAGTTTGTAACCACTTGGGGGAGAGTAAATGCTTTCATTTTTTAAACTGTAAATCTTCTACATAGAGTCTATATACACGTTTCTGTAATAAAGTGTGCTTAACATTCTCAGCTTCTGTTGGGGTTTTCTAAAATCTGGCTAAAATCTAAAATCAACCCTTTGCTTTGTATAAAACAATGTTTTCTAACATGTAAGCAAGTGTACCATATACTAATGCAATTATGCAATTAAGCTCTATCCACAATAAGCAGGCATTGTAGCATTCCTTGAGTACATCATCTAATTTAATTTAACCTACATCCTCCAAAGGCTTAAATGTGGATTATCTGATGACTGGTGAACTGGGAGAAGCATTTAGATCACTCCACTTGTTCCCGCTCAACAGTTTCTTGAATATAGATAATTCAGCAGCACTTCTTCTAATCATGTGACCCTGCCAGAACATGTCAAGAATTGCACAGACATTTACATTACACAAATGGTAAATTCGATAAATAATAATAAATTAAACTTGGTCAGGACAGTTCATACAGGATGGATCCTGGTCATTAAAGTGCCACTATTATACAGTTTTTCTTTGTCTTAGAGGTATCAAATAAAAGGTTTACATCAATCCAAGCTCAAAAACACATTTTATTTTCATAATTTGCATTGTAACATCAGCTGTTTTATCATACTGTCTGAATTCGTTTATTCAATGTCCTGTCTTTCTGTTTTATTAGACCAACTCCAGTCTGTCAAAATCTTTAACTGACAAAAAACCCCTTCCTTTTCTTCACCTTTTTGTTGTGTAACTAAATTTTGTTAGAAGTCATTCTGGTGCCGCAATAAAATTGTGCAACTCTGTTCAAAAACACACAAAAGAACGCACTTTGTTACAAAACCTAAAACTAAAAAAAGTTTTGAAAAGTTGGAAATTTACAAAACATCTCCATAGAACATGATCTCTTCTAAATATTCTAATGATTTTTGGAGTAAAAGAAAAATGGTAACACTTTACACAAAAGATGTATTAATGATAATGTTAATGCATTTACTAACATAAACAACCAATGAGCAATGCATTAATTGTAGAATTTGTTCATGTTAAGCCCTGGCCAGATTACATGATTCCTTCACTATCAGTCATCCCGTGTCGTCTTCTATGATCGTTATTTCCTAAAGCAGTCACAATATTTCTTATTAATTTCAATGTTTTTTTTTTCTAATCTTATGTCAATCTCAATAAACACTGATGCTTGCTGACAACTAAGCTAACTTATTTAAGAGCATTCATTATGGCATTGATAGGATAAAATATATATTTCCTTTTTAATATTAAGATATTTTCTTTTAAATCTAAATGTATATTATCCAGCAATGGGTTGCTTATTAAGCACTCCCTCGCCTGAACTTGCTGCAAGTGAGACAGTGAAAATGAAAGCATATTAACATGACATATTAAAAAAAATGTTAATATATGACAGAGGTTTGTAATGCAACAATTAAAGCATTCATTTAATCCTTATTTTCCATGGAGTGAAACAAATCATCCACCCGCACAGTTGAGTAGTGGTCGGGCACAAACAAAAATATAATTCCTATATTTTTCTTGGGAAAAAAAACCTTTTTGAAACAAATTTTGTTTGGTATAATTTGTATCAATTTTAATTTATTTTTTCTTGGTCAATTATCAACTAGATAAACAAGAAAAACGATTAACAAGATTGCAAAATATGCTTCAGAGCCAAAACCCAGATTTAATATGTTTAAAAATATTAAATCTAGCCTAAATAAAACTAAAGTGCAAAATTCACTGATTCAGATAAGCTGTTTTAATTTTTAATGACAAAATCATTCATTGCCGATCAGTTTCAATTCAATTAATCAAGTAATTTGAAAGAGCAAGACAGGCTTTTACAATGTATTACCAGCACTGAACGGGTTTCTAGATTACCTTGGAAGAACAAACTCGGTTGGAAGAGTGAGAGAACTCAGAAACTAAGTAAAAGTAAATAAGTACTTTAGTTAATATGCAGCCTATTTTTTGATTACCTGACCCAAGAATTAACCGCAGCACCTGCAGATATAACTGAGAAAATCTGTGCTCCTATTGTCCAGTGTCGCCCTCGTGACGGAACTCATCGTCAAGATCAAGGAAAAAAATTAAACATGCTAGACTTTCTGCGATTGTGTCGTGAGGCGTCGCAGACATGTTATCAGTTGTCATGAATCTTGTGTCACAATGCCCATTTGTTGTTTACAACTCCACTACACCAAGGAAATAGTGCCAAAATCGAGACAAAATCATTTGATTGAACTAGGGCTTCAGTTATCATTAATGAAAAATACAGTTGTTCATTGTCAGTTCATGTTCATCTCACAGTGCATTAACTAATGTTAACAAGCATGAATTTGGATGTTAGAAAAGCATTAGTAAATGTTAAGCTATAATTAAAGAATGCTGTACAAGTATTGCTCATAATTAGATCATTTTAGTAAATACATTAACTATAATAAACTAATGAAACCTTATCGTAATGTGTGACCAGGAAAATACATATTTTAACTCTGTATTTTTGACTATTATCAAAAATATACCTTTGCAGCATAATACTGATTTTAAATATAACAGGGACGCTTTAACATCCTAAATAGCTAATGCACTAAATGTGCAGACCTGGAGAGTAGAACAGGACATCAACAGACTGGGGATTCATCATGTTCTGGGATGGATTGATCTTGTGTTTCAGTGTCCATGCTGTATCTCTGGGGATGATCACAGGGACTGTGGAAATAAAAGAATTTAATACAGCAGCCTTGTCTTCATCTTTTAATGATATAGAGTCTGATGCATTTAGACTCAAACACACCTTCTTGTCGTAGCTTTTCATGATAGGCCAGTTTGGAGGCAGCGCAGACACTCTTCTGTGTCTGCAAACAGCCCACCACAGCATCCATAAGAAGGACATTGGTCAAAGCCTGCTGCACATACTGGGGATCCTGATAAGTCGTACAAGTCACAGGAAAGATGCTTAAGTATTTTGTGCATTTTAAAGGGTGCAATAAGAATGTCTACTCAAATATGGAGAAAGAAAAGACTTAAAACCTTAAAAGCGCAATTTTTACATTAGGAAGGACGTGGGTCTGTGTGCATGTTTGACCAGCAGTAGGAAATTAAAATAAACAAATAGGAAATTGCACACACACACGCACAAAAACATTGTTTTGAAACCTTTAAATATTACACACCCTAAAAGCACTCAATGACCACAAATTCCAGTTTTAGATGTTCAACTTCCTTGTTCAAATTATTCATCAAATTATTTTAATTTAAAATATGTTCTGTTCTTGTGTGGTGTAGTAAATAAATATACAGTTTGTGATTATTTTAAATGTATTATTTAAAATGCAATGAGCCCCAAGAAGGAATATCACTGTAAACCACAGAGCTTACTGCATTTGTACAATGATTGCCACATAATACATATATAGGAACTACTCTAATGATCATGGTTATTACAACAGAGATGCCTGTGTTGGACATCATAGTAAACAATGTCAGGATTAACTGACTTGATTTGTAAGAAAGAAAGAAAAAGAAAAAAATCACAATACAAGCTAACTTTACCTTATTGTTGTCTGCCATCATTCTGCCAGCCCACATCTCCTTGACCATGAGATTCCACAGTTCACACTCAGATTTTAAATTAGCCTCGAATATCTCATCCCTCAGGCTGTTCTTGATCTTTAATGATGAATTTCTTAAAATTCGTACAGGGGCAGAGATCTTCACTTCCTTTATTCAAAGGATTCATACCGTTACCACAAGCGTAAACCTCTCAGTTTAAACAGTATACTATAGACATAAAAATGAACAAACCTCAATGTCTCTAAACTTTGTGATGTCCACATATCCAGGACTTCCTGTGGTCAGCAGAAAAATCCTTTTCTGAGTCATTGCTATTTTCCCAACACCATAACTGGTCTTCACAGACCTGGACAGCTTGTAGACACACTCATTACTGTCCAGGCGCTCCAGGACCTCAGCAGGCAAAAGAACGTCCTGGGCTTCTGCCTCAGTCTCCTTCCAGAATTTGTAAAACATCCTGAATAGCTCTGGAACAATCTGCTTCTGACCACCTACAAAAGCCAAAGAAAAATCTTGATTATAAAACACAGTACATTGAAAGAAATTACCTTTGCTGCTTGTTTAAGCTACTTATTTAAAATGAGTTGAAACAACACAATGCAATACACACACACTAAAAATGAGTTAGGATGATTCTAAGGGCCCACACCATTTTGGGGCCCCCAAAGTTACTATTAGAGGCCCCCCAATCACCCCCACTCCCCCGTTCTGCACTTTTGCCCGCGAGAAGCCAAGAACCACAAACCCCAACCTGGACAAACCAGCTGTCGGAAACATACTCTTTACTCTTCCTATCTACACTACCTGACGAAAGTCTTGACACCTATCCAAGTTTTAGGAACAAAAAATAATAACTTGACTTCTAGTTGATCATTTGGTATCAGAGGTGGCTTATATGAAAAGCAGAGGCCTCTATATTACACTTATACATTCATTCATTCATTCATTCATTTTCAGCTTAGTCCCTTTATTAATCTGTGGGAACTACAGCGGAATGAACCGCCAGCTTATCCAGCACATGTTTTTACACAGAAGATGCCCCTCCAGCCGCAACCCATCACTGGGAAATGGAAACATCCATACAATGTAAATTTTTTTTAGCATACCCAATTCACCTATACCATGTCTTTGGACTTGTGAGGGAAACCAGAGCCCCTGGAGGAAACCCACGTGAACATGGGGATAACATGCAAACTCCACACAGAAATTCCAACTGACCCAGCAGAGACTCGAACCAGTGACCTTCTTGCTGTGAGGCGAACATGCTCTTCACTGCGCGTCACCCTAAATTACACTTATTTTACCAAAATAAAATAAGATCTTGCCTTGATTTTTTATTTATTTCTGAACTAATTTAATTAGGACAGTATGGAATGACTTTGCAAAAGTCAGTACAGTACAGTATATATAAAGCCATGGTGCAGTGAAAAAATAATAAATATTGTGTATGACTCCTATGAGCTTGGACGACTGCATTCATACATCTCTGCAATGACTCAATTAACTTATTAATAAAGTCATCTGGAATGGCAAAGAAAGCGTTCATGCATGAATCCCAGAGTTCATCAAGATTTTTTGGATTCATCTTTAATGCATCCTCCTCTATCTTATCCCAGACATGCTCAATAAATGTTCATATCTGGTGAATGGGCTGGCCTTGACATTCTTTTCCTTCAGGAACTTTGATGTGGAGGTTAAAGTATGAGGAGCACAATCATGCTGAAGAATTTGCCCTTTTCTGAGGTTTATAATGTAATAGGCAGCACAAATGGTTTGATACCTCAGGCTGTTGATGTTGCCATCCACTCTGCAGATCTTTCACACGGCCTGAAACTGAATGTAACCTCAAACCATGATTTTTCCTTCACCAAACTTTTCTACTGATTTCTGCGAGAATCCTGGGTCTACGCAGGTTCCAATCCATCATCACTATTTGTGATGACTGGAATGCAGGTAATTATTTGATGCTCTGACAACTGGGATTGATTACAAGACTTTTGCCACATAGTGTATTTGTACCAGACACTTTCTTACTAACACTTGAATGCTGAAGGACTCAATTAAAAAAAAAAATGCTTACCTCACTTCTATATTTTATAACTGAAATCTATATATTGCTGCTTTCTAGTGTTTTGAAGTGCTTCTTTTATCCTCATTTTTAAAGTCGACATTAAAACAAAATGTACTCTTCTTATTTTATATACAGTTGAAGTCAGAATTATTAGCCCCTTATTGAATTTTTGTTCTTTTTTAAATATTTACCAAAAGATGTTTAACGGAGCAAGGAAATTTAATTAAATACATGAACAAGCAGTAAACTTACCAGCATTAAGAGCTTCAAACAGTCTCTGAATGGTGGCCACATCCCGCACAATGCCAGACTCCTGAATGCACTTTACAAACTCCTCCAGCTGCATGGGGGCTTTGGGAAGCTGGAACTTTTTCACATGATTGTCGCACTCCATCTGCTCTCTTTTCTCTTTGCTCTTCACCTGACAGATAAGGCGTCTGAGCTCACATCTCTCCTCGACCTGGACTCTCTCCTCTTTTTGAAGAGAATGAACAAGTGTCTTCACCAGCTCTCTGGGGAAAACCCCAATGTCTGTTTTGTAGAGGTTCTGGAAGTCGCTGAGAGCATCCAATCGCTTTGAGTTTTGCATGTTGATGAGGCCACGCAGGTAGAAATATCTGGCTAGCAGGGAGGAATCATCAGGCGAGACAGCTGATATGGCTTTGTTGAGCTTGAGGATCAGATCTTCAATGTAATGGAGAATGTTGAGGTGGTTCAAGGGACGAGGGAAAAAAGGAAGCTGGAAGATTTTGACCGGCCAGGCTGTAGTATTAAGAGCTTTTGGGACAAATGTTTTGAATTAATGATCAGTGACATAAATGAATTGACAATCTGCATTTCGATACTGAGCTTTGTCGATGCATTAGAGTGCTGTAGATCTCTTACGCATTTCAGGAGTGCTAGTTGGAGACACCTGTTTGTCATCTTGGTTAAAGAGACTTGAGCGATGGCCATTCTTAGATGAACTCCTTCTCATTTCTTGTATAGTGGGTCTGCGAGAGGAATCCACTGCATTCCTGTATCTAAACAAATTTATAACAACAACAAAAAGTCATTTAAATGTTACATATATACATATATATATATACATACATACATACATACATACAGTACATACATACATACACACATATATATATATATATATATATATATATATATATATATATATACACACACACACACACACACACACACACACACACACACACACACACACAATTTTGTGAATTGTGGGGACATTACATAGGTTACAATTGTTTTATACTCTACAAACTGTACTTTCGATTGCTCTAACCCCAAATCCAACCTCTAAATCCAACCCTTACGGGAAATTATGTGTAGTTTTACTTTCTGAAAAAAAAAAAAAAAACATTTAGTGTGATTACATTTTTTAAATAATGTCCACATAATTCACCATCTCCTCATAACATCTGTGTAATACAGATGTTGTTAAACATATACATGGGCACACACACACACACAAACACATATAAATACACTCTTTTACACACAAACAGACGCACACACAGGTACAATCACACAGTTTCTCTCTTACACACATTATTTACTCTCACTCACACACACACACACACACACACACACACACACACACACACACACACACACACACACACACACAAACACAAACACACACTCACACTTTGGGAGTTTTAAAGTTTGATTGGTTAATATCACAATAAACAGGAGTTCTGTCTTCTGGAAGCACCCGTGAAACTAAACTAAACAAGCAAACTAAATCCTGTTGCACTAATTCACTTGATTTTGATTTTGTTGTTAAAAAAAAAAAAAAAAAAAAAAAAAAAACAGGAAACTGTGTATATTACTGTGTTAAATGAAAATCTAAAATATTTTATGGCTTATGGCTATGATTTAGTTTAAATTTTTCTTTATTGTTTTTAATTAAATTTGTCTTACACTTCATATTTTCTGTAGTATATTTATTAATTCTGGTACTTTTACCATAAATCAACATCTTAACCATTTGGTAGAGGCTGATATTTAAGAAATTATGGTATGTGTTGAGAAAAAAATGCATTGATTGTGTTAAATTAGCGACATTAGAAGAAATGCAATCAAAAAAAATCTATTGCTTTTGTCTTGGTGTGACAGTTAAAGGGTTTTTTTGTAATACAATTTTGTTCTTTAATACAGCAGTCAGATATATGAACTGTACCTTTAATTTGACCTGTTCAAAGAAAACACACTTTCTGAATGTATCAAACAAAACTCATGCACAGAAGACTGCATGAGCATTTACAGCTAATAAACTAATATCTATATTATCCCGCCTGCTTTTTGAGCGCTGACAGGCGAGGTCTTATGATTGGTTACTTTTCACCTGCTCAACAGAAAGGGCTTTAGAAATGAAGCGCTGTTCAGCCATGGCGGGAAGAATACGCGGTTATCACAGGTAATAGACACAGTGGACAAAACTTGCACATCAGACACGCTCGTGTCTGGATGGATCCACAGGTTTAACAGCCAAGAAGAGAGGAAAAGTTACCTTACAAACAGGCCAGCGGGTCAAATGTCCAAAGTGAAAAAGAGACAGGCAGAGGCGAAGTTTTACAACATTTCTCCATAATAGTGAATTAGCGGCTTGTGTGCTGTGCCGCCTCACCCTCGCGCCTCCGTCCTCCGCCATAGTATTGCGACATCGCGCATAGGAGATAAATGGCGTCATCACGTAATAACCGGTTATGATCTATTACTGAACTGATATCGATCATTTTGACACCCCTAGTAACGAGTAACGATGCAGCACATAAAAAATCTATCGGAGTAAAAGTATTAAACTCATGGAAAATATGTACTTAAGTAAAAGTGGAAGTAGGAGAAAAAAACAATACAGTAAAGTACAGATACTGCCTTTTAGTACTTAAGTACAGTAGTGAAGTAGTTCTACTTCGTTACTATACATCTCTGTGTTTATACTTGTTCAAAATATTAGCATTTTAAGAAACTTTAATAGTTTCTTCATCAATATCCAATCTGGAGGCAAATACAAAACAGCAAGCTGAAGACAGTCATAAAACTTTCTCTTGGAAAGTTAGCTTTCTAATATGACCTCAATTATTTTTGGTGATGCAATATAAACAAACCGGCCACTTTATTAGGTACACCATCTGCTCATTAATGGAAATTTCTAATCAGCCAATCACCTTGCAGCAACATTAGCACGGGGAAAAAGGTGATTCAAGTCACTTTGAAAGTGGCATGGTTGTTGGTACCAGACGGGCTGGTCGGAATATTTCAGAAATTGCTGATCGACTGGGATTTTCCATGCACAACCATCTCTAGGGTTTACAGAGAATGGTCTGGAAAAGAGAAAATATCCAGTAAGCTGCAGTTCTGTGGGCGCAGCAAAAAACCACACCGGGTGCCACTCCTGTCAGGTAGGAACAGGAAACTGAGACTAAAATACACACAGGCTCAGCAAAATTGGACAATAGAAGAAATGGAGGGTCAGAATTTGACGTCAACAACATGAAAGCATGGATCCATCCTGCCTTGTATCAACGGTTCAGGCTGGTGCTGGTAGTGTAATGGTGTGGGGGATGTTTTTCTTGGTGCACTTTGGGCCCATTAGTACCAACGCCACAGACTACCTGAGTATTGTTGCTGACCATGTCCATCCCTTAATGATCACAGTATACCCATCTTCCGATGGCTACTTCTAACAGGATAACTTGGCATGACATAAAGAATCATATCAGACTGTTTCTTTGAACATGACAAGTTCACTGCACTTAGATCATTGCACTTAAATGGCCTCCACAGTCAAGAGATCTCAATCCAATAGAGCACCTTGGGGATGTGGTGGAATGGGAGATTGACATCATGCATGTGTAGCCAACAAATATGTGAGATGCTAATATGTCAATATGGACCAAAATCTCAGAAATATTTCCAGTACCTTGTTGAATCCATGCCATGAAGCATTAAGGCAGTTCTGAAGGTAAAAGTGGGTCTTACTCGATACTAGTTAGGTGTACCTAAAAAAGTGGCCGCTGAGTGTATATCGCCCATACGTAAGAGCAATTCTAGTATTCTAAGAATTAGAATTCTAAGAATTCATGTTGTGCAACATGTTTATCTCTATAGGAGGTGTCAGTATGGTTAAAAAAACACTATAGTATTTATTATAAATTATTTTAGTGTATTTTCATATGGGTGTCTGACAACTGAAAATAGATCTGGTAGCAGATATTGCAGCCTCTGTTACTTTTTACCTTGCACTTTTTTGTTAACATAATCAATATTTATTTAGTATATGTGTTTTCACATTCCGCTTCCAATGCCTAATTATTCAAATTGTTAAAATTACAATAATTAAATGTAAAATTCATAAGAATAAAATATTATTTTTTCTTAGGAAGAGTGTACTTACATTGTGATGATATTATCTTGTCATTCTGGCATTGCAATGAGTGGCATAAAATGATCTTAAAATGACACTAATATTGTTTATCGCAATATATTTTAGTACAATATACAGTATTGTACAACAAAAAATAGATATCGTGACAGGCGTACTTATTGGTTAAGGCTGTGACATCATGACCTCTAAACAGAGATTGCCCTCAAGATAATGCCCGCTTCTAGCACCCAGACAAAGGAGAAGATGCTGAATTAACAGTCTTCTCCAGACACACCTTAAGCTCATGCCAAGCCTTATCTTTCCATTCATCAAAGATCCTAGGACTCAAAATGGTTCTTTTTCATCTACTAACTTTAACAAAGATCAACTGGAGTTGTAACAAACAGCATCAGAACTGCCTTTCAAATAGGTGAGCCATGCAAGTATCAAACCAGCACATACTGTAATGATGCTGTAATTTTATGCTGTAATTTCTTAAAACTCTTTACTGCATGCATGTGTATGTTCGATTAGTTTAAGTTTGTGTTTAATGTATTTTATAAACCCTCCCTTGTATCACACTTAATTTTGTTCATGGTTTGTTCATAACTGAAGTCCCCAATCATGTTACATTTTTGAACAGTTTTGCAGAAAGTCAATAGCATTGAATAGGTTATTTCTCATAAACTGGAATTTAACATTCTTTAAATAATTGACCCAGAAATGTCAAGTAAAAGTGTACAGATGATCTAAAAATCATATTTTTTATTTACTGCAATTATTAGTTATGGCTTATGGGTTTGAGTAAAATGATTTGATTAATTCACCACAATGGAATGAACCGCCAACTTATCCAGCATATGTTTTACATAGTGGATGCCCCTCCAGCTGCAACCCAGTACTGGGAAACATCCATGCACTCGCATTCTCACACACACACACACACACACACACACACACACGAACACGAACACGAACACACTGTGGTCAGTTTATTTTATTCAGTTCACCTATACCACATGCATTCGGACATTTGGGCAAACCGGTGCACCCGGAGGAAACCCACACAAACACAAGGTAAACATCCAAACTCCACACAGAGAACTGACCCAGCCGGGACTCAAACTAAAGACCTTTTTGCTTTGAGGTGACAGTGCAAACCACTAAGCCACCGTGTCGCCCACACAATTATCCATATTCCTAATAAAATCATCCTTATTTAAAGGCAACTGGTAAAAAAAAATAAAAATAAATCAACACATATTGATTTCATCTCATTGTTTTAACTCATGTGAAGTTAAGACACTTGCACTGTGTTGTCTAAAAATTAATATACACATCTGAATACAGCACTTTTTGTTATTTTATGCAACAAAGAAAGACAGGCATGCAGTGCTCAGCATATTTAAGTTCACCCCTCACAAACCTTTTAAATTCATATTTTTAATAGGAAGCTATACAGTATTATATTTGTGCATATACATTAGATTAGTCAGTACTAAAGCCAAATCTGGAGCTTATCTAACAAAATAACTTATGATAAAGGTCCAAAAACTAGTACAGCCACATTTATATTTTATATAAAAATGTTAAATACAAAATTTAAATAAGAAAAATCAAGAGAAGCCAAAAAAAAAGAAAAATTTAATTGAAATTTTGTAGGTTGTAATTTATTTTGCAATATTTTGATTGAATTTAATTGTATTATTTTTCAATTTCTAAATTTGTTTGGTGACTAAAATATTATTTTAATAAATATATCTGTCTAATAAATCTGTTTTGTTTAAATACATCAAAACACATTGCCTATATTGACTGAGAAATGGAAAAAAATATTAATTTTTAAAATGTGGTGTACTCAATTATGTAACTCTGGAACTCCTATCGAAAGCAAAAAAAGGTATTCATATACATAGACATATTATATTCATAACTTACTTTTGTTCTTCTGTCAGATTACTAAGCTCCAGTTGGGCAAACATATCCATTTTTCTGTTCAAACGTTCTTTTAAAAAGGAGTGGAAAATAGGTGTTTCCAAGACCTGTTGTAAAGAAAATGCTATTAGTTACACAGTTTGGTTCTATTTCTAAAAGTCAAAGACCAGACGTATTATTTAATAGAACACAGAAAATCACTTTTTTATAAAACGACTGGTCCTCTGGGTCTCTGGTCTTGAGGAACTCATCAGTATTGAAAACTCTGTGTTCGTAATTTAGGTAATCGCTGACATCTCTGAGAAAAAAAAACAAACATTTTAATTAGTTTGTTAAAAAGTCATGAGTAGATTTCTGCACAGGCTTATACTGACCGAAACATGTTAAAGAGGAGCTCCAGGCTGATGTTTTGTATTTCCTTATTGAGTCTCTGTTGCCAACATCTTCTCTGATTTCGCAGCTCATTAAGGTCTCCACATATGCTCTGATTTAACAGATTCAGGTCATAATGCAATCGAAGACCTTTCCTTCTGCATAAAGATCCACCAAAATCATAAAATGTGACAAATACAAAACCATCAATGGTGTAATGCAACTTTGTCACACACACAAAAAAAGTGTAACGGTTAGATGTGTCTCACCGACTTTTGAAACATTGGGCAGCTGCATATGGAACATCTGGGATGTCAAAATCAAGAATGCTAGAGCAGGATACTGTTCCCTCATCAATATTGATCAGAATCAGATCATCATTTTCCTGAAACATGAACAATAGTTTTACTAATCACAGTAGACTAATACACTTTTATATCCTATTATATAAATTCCTCCTTTAATGCATACGACATGTTGTCTCAGTGTGCCAAGTACATATATTAGGATATTTATGACAATAGCTAATAGGCTATATCTAATAAGAATCTGCATAAGAATTATATTTGTCACAATCACCAGCGATCTAATCCTGACAGATCACTGGTAAACACGCAGATTGCTAAAGCACTAAAAATCCGCTGGTATTTGGATTACAAGTTTCAGTCATGCACCGCTCACACGCACATGTTCTTCATTCAGTAGATTACACACACTCATGGCTTTGAGCTGCTCACAAACTGATTACAAGGACTATTTTTTACAGCGCGCACACACACACACACACACACACACACACACACACACACACACACACACACACACACACACACACAAACACACACAAACACACGCTGAGTCTTGGTATACTGTTTGTGGACATTAAGACGTGTTTTCCTTGCCTTGGCGTTTTAGACTCTTGCCCTGTTTTATTGTTTATTCCTGTCTGCTGCCAGTCTTCTGACCACTCGCCTGATATCTGACCACGACTCTGAATTTCCTGTGTATATCTTTTTGCCTCTGCATTGACTGTTGCCTGCCTGACCGTTCTCTGTTCAATAAACCTTGCATTTGGATCCTCAACTCCATTGTCCAGCGTCCCTTCACATAACTATATTATATTCATATATATATATATATATATAAAATATACAGTGTTGCTTTTTCCTGTAACAACAGCACAGCGGATAACAGTAAATCTATTTATAATAATAATAATAATAATAATAATAATAATAATAATAATAATAATAATAATAATAATAATAATAACAACAACAACAACAACAACAACAACAACAACAATAATAATAATAATTATTATAACTATTTATTACTGATTGACTTATTTTCTTATGAATTTTTATTTGCTTATTTTTTTATTTTGTGTTAAAAAATTAAATTTTCACAAATCTCTTTAATTTTTATTTTTTAACACAAAATAAGATTAAAAATAAACAAGTTAAGAATTTATAATTAATAACATAATTCATTTATAGTGAAAAACTTGATGCGGCCCAGCCTCACCCAGACTCTGTCTCCAGAAGCCCCCAGGTAAATTGAGTTTGAGACCCCTGTTTTATATTGTAATATTCATTCACTCATTTTCTTTTCGGTTCAGTCCCTTTATTAATCTGGAGTCGCCACAGCGTAGTAAACCACCAACTTATCCAGCTCATGGTTTACGCAGCGGATACCCCTCCAGCTGCAACCCAACACTGGGAAACACCAAGCCAGTCACATACACTACGGCCAATTTAGCTTATTTAATTAACCTATACCACTGTGGGGGAAGCCAGAGCACCGGAGGAAACCCATGCTGGCACGGGGAGAACATGCAAATTTCACACAGAAACACCAACTGACCCAGCCGGGGCTCTATCCAGCAATCTCTTTGCTGTGTGGCAATAGTGGTACCCACTGCGCCACCGTGCTGCCCTATATTATATTATATTATATTATATTATATTATATTATATTATATTATATTATATTATATTATATTATATTATATTATATTATATTAAATTATATTATATGTGCTGTCGCCTAACAACAAAAAGGCATTTTTTTTCGTTTGCATGCTCTTCCTGTTTGCGTGGGTTTCCCCCACAGTTCAAAAGACATGTGGCACAGGTGAATTGGGTAGGCTAAATTGTCCATAGTGTATGTACTGTATGTGTGCGAATGAGTGTGTATGGGTTTCCAAGTGATAGGTTGCGGCTGAAAGGGCATCTGCTGCGTAAACTTTATGCTGGGTAAGTTGGCGGTTTATTCCGCTGTGGCGACCCCAGAAAAATAAAGGGACTAAGCCTAAAAGAAAATGAATAAATGAATATTATATTATATTATATTATATTATATTATGTTATATTATATTATATTATATTATATTATATTATATTATATTATATTATATTATATTATATTATATTATATTATATTATATTATATTATATTATTTATGGTCCTCAGTTTTTTAAACACCTGAACACAAGAAAAAAAATTAATTAATTAATATGGCTAAATAAATACTTAATTTAAGCTTTACCTCAGCAACCTCTTCATAGTGGCTGATGTGGCATCCCATGATGAAGGCAGTTGGTGCCATAACAAAATCCAGCATGTGTTGGGACAGTATGGGCACAAGCGGGTGCTGCCAGCGCAAAGGCCAAATATACAGCATAAAACACTCCGCAATCAGAGTCAGTTTGGCCCAGTCCGATGAGAAGAACACCATACGCTGCTCAGTCAGAATACAGGCTATGATCTGCAAAAGAACGATGCACCATTATTCCCATGTGATTGAAACTAAGACATTCATTTTTTTTCGGTCTAACTCTGTGTTTGGTCTTAGCATTCATAAAAGTTAAAGCAGCTGTGTTTGTTTGTTGAAGTGTGCATGTGTGTGCCAGTAGTTGTAGAGGTGTAAAAATTATTTTATAGTTAGCGTGTCAAAATTGACCCGTAAGACAATCATTTTACCTCACATGTTTACATCTTTCATGACAATAGATAAATAGTCGTGATGTTGGGGTCATTTTAGAAAAATTCAACAAACTTTAAGATAAAAAAAACATAATTTTTTTTTTCTGCTGCTAAAATAGTCGCGAAAGATTTTTGACCCAATTTTTGTACATGAGGTCAACAATAGGGTAAAAGAGATTTTTGCTTCTCTAACTGACTGATTTCCAGATTTTTGTCCAAGAAACCCCCCAATTATTGATTTTCCATTTATATTTGAGACCTGCAGAACTTCTTTGGACTTGAAGCAGAGGAATGGAAGATGAAGGTCCAAATCAACCACAGGATGATGTTGATCCTCTCTTGATGGAAGGACAATCATCAGAGGCTGCATGATGAACATCTGAAAAGAAAAATTGCTTAAATGTATTTTACATGCAATTGGGTAAAATTGGATTTACAGTTTTAATCAGCCTCCTGATCTTCTGAACCCACCACATGCAGCTGACCAGGAGGGGGAACTGGGACCACAGATAGTTTAGCAGAAAACTCCTTCGCTCGCTCCTCCATCTCAGTCATCTGGCAGATTTTGAGCTCACGTAAGAGGCTGTGGATAGGACAGTAAACAATAATTGAGGAAATGGTGCTGTACTTTCTACAACTTCCATTCAATGTGTGGAGACAAATATGTTTGCCATTACTTTGAGGTCACACCCCAAACTGAGTGCAATGTAATTTATTAAAGGTGCCATACACATTGATACACTATAATAAATTGTTCTCCGATATCTCCATACAAGATATGTGGCTTAGGTAAATCCTAGGAATGGGCCCTAATATGATATAATTGAAAAGTTGTGCATATTAATGAGCTCTACTCTGATTCTCCAGCAGCTCAACTCATGTCAGTGGCCATGAGCTGCATATTTTTCTCTCCATGGCAAGCTAAGAGAGTTTTTAGGAAACGAAAACTTTTTTCAACTTTCCGACTTTTCGGCTGCAATGTGGACTGTGAAAACGGATGATTTTGAAATCAATGACGCAATTCAGTCAGGTGACCAATACAGCTTACATGGTGGACGACATTGTAAAGCAGATGTTTTGGATGCTGTAGATTTTTATAGCTTTATTAAAGATTAAAGTCAGTTTGTACATGCTCCATATTGCATGTTTACTATATGGGAGCTATTGTTCAATGGCGGAAAAAGATGACAAATGCAACATTTTGCCGTGACATTTAAAAAATGGAAAGTAAACAAACGCAAGGTGGATATGACAAAGGTAGAAGCGTCTTATGTCTGTGCGCATGTGCAGTACATGAAGGAAATGTTTTCAGTAACTTTTGTGTGGATGACCATTTTCTCAGAAGAGGCGATATTGTGGATGTGGAACGTTTTTAGATGAAAACGGTTCTTTCAAAATGATCAGGATTAGTGAAGACATAGCCTGACACTCTCTCTTTCTCTCTCTCTCTCACACACACGTGGTATACCCTGAAATACACATGCATAAAATAATCAGTCATACTTCCTAAAATCCTTGCTAAATGACAATCTTTTCAACTGAAATGGTAGAGAGGTTTATTTTAGCTAGAGGAAGTGAGTGAGCCACCAGAGTAACCTATTTTGCTCCTGAGATGTGTTGTGGAGTAAATATAGGCTAAATTATAATTATACTTGGCAAAAGGAGCCCATTCAGAAGTAATAAAAGTTGTAATTTGTAGGTTTATAATATATACAGAAATGCAAGCAAAATTTACTATCCACCACGAATAGAGAGTTTATTGCCGTTATTTTACTTCAGAAAAATTACACTAAGAGCTGAGTGATATGACACAATGTTTAGATGAGTATTAAACACTTATATTAAGTGGTTTATATGAGTTTGTTGCCTAATTACAAACATATGCTGCAAATTTCACAACATACACGTGAAACTAAACTTATGCCCCTTTGGGGTGGCATGGAATCAATGTATAATCTATATATCCAGCATTTTGCATTCTGACGTGCTGTTAACAGACGCAATCGTGCTTGGCTGCCTGCTTTACAAAACCTCTTTTACTCTTCTTTAAACCCTATTCTGTTTCCAAAAAAAATAGTCCCACATACAGTACACAGTACAAGCTGAGAAAAACTTAAAAATACATTTATCATTGTTGTAACCTCACTAGGAAACATTGTGGCCAATCAACCACTGCATGAGGCATGCATATTAATGATCTCATGTAGATATTCAGAGTATATTTTTGTTCTGGTGATTGCCTTGTTTTAACCAGGATTTCACACTCACTAGATTTACATGAGAATGGTGAAACTACAGTGTTTAAGAAACATGGTATGTCACCTCCATGCACTTTTATTATTTAGCTTAATTTTAGGTATATTCAGAGTTTCACTCTATGGCACCTTAGAAATAAATGTCTTGAATCTTGACAATACCTGGATAGACAGTCCTTGAGAGCGCTGTAATATGGGTGTTTTGATATAACACACACTGCATAAGGAGTATAGAGTTGTGGAGGCTTGTATGAGGTCTGGTGTCCATTTTGGTGCTGCTTCCCTTCCTGCATAAGATAAGATTGAATATGGCAGTGTCTTAACCAAAACTGTCCTATATATTAGCGTTCTTTAAACCAAATTACTTGCAAACTAGGCATATTAATTAGTGTTATTAGTTTATTTCTCCTTCTTTTTAACAGCCATATGAAAATTATTTGAAAATGTCAGTGCCTAAAATATAAAACCGCATAATTACCAGCATCTTGTGAATTAGTCTGCAAAATACTCACAATCCCAAACATATTGCTGCTGGGATCGTTTGTCTTTGTTTGCTCCATGACTATTTATTTAAAGGTGGCATTGAGACCAACTATCAAAACATTACATATATCTGCAAACAGTAACAAAACTACCGCTGCTTCAAGTGGCAATAACTCGAGAAATGCTCATAAACAGCAGGTAAAATTCAGCACAGGTGATCTGTCAATGCACAACCACAACGAGAGGTTATATAAATAAGAAACTGACCTGCGTTGCTCTGTAGAACTGGAGAACTACTCCATGAGACTGGTTTCCAAGCACATCGGTGAAGACCAAGTAATGGAACTGTTCATCCTTTTGCTTCTTAGTTACCTGAAGTCCTCCTGATTTAGACCAAAGAAAAAGCGTTAAATCTGATTTCAAACTACTTTTGCAGAAACTGTGCACTGAAATATTTAACATTTACAGTGTGAATTGCTGATTTTTATTGATGTGTGCTGGCTCTGACCTTTGCCACCTTCTACAAATGTTATGCTCTTTCTACTAGAGCTGAACAAGATATAGTTTGAGCATTGATATCACAATGTGTGTAGTGCAAAAGTCACATTATAGGATTAAATTACTTATTAAAGATTAAAAACAAAGATCTTATTAAATATATATATATATTTTTTTTACGATGACCATGCTATTTTACATTTCATTCTTCAAAGAATACTGTTAAACTCCCCAGAAAACCATAAAATACTGTTTATTTATTTTTATTTGTAATTTATTATATCATATGCAAACACAGCGCATAGAATAATAAGACTAATGAATTATTTTCAGATAGAGCCATTCAAATCATTTGGTCAAAGTAAAATATATATTGCGCCAAATCAAAATGTCAGATTTTTTTCTATATCATGCAGCCCTACTTTTTAAATATTAATCTGTGTGATGTATGAATATCTTTGTGGACTTGAACCGCAGTAAAAAAAAGTCAAGCATTTCCATTCAATTTTGTTTCACCTGGAAAGCACAGTTGTGGTAAAGCTGCCAGATCCAGTTCTTTAAGAGTGCTGGCATTCTCTGTGGCTTCCTCCTTGGGGTTTACGGTGTTAAAAGTGGGCTTATCGTTGTTTTTCTGAATCGGAGAACACCATTGCTGAGTCGGACTTAAGGTTTCCACAGCCGGTTCCGTGACATTCTGTTTAAGGCAAAACAGAGGCCTGTGGACCTGCAGAACCTCAGGATCGAGCAGAGGAAGAGGACTTCCATTCAGTTGTGACAAAGACTGAAGAAAATAAAGAAAACATACAAATCAAAGGGTGCATGCTGCATAGTGATTAGTCTAAAAAAAGTGCACTAAGCAATGTTTCTGTTTGAGCATATGAAAGTGATCTTAAGATTTTGACACCCGTTTTTCAAACGTGCTTGTTTGTTGCATAACCAAATAATTTCCAATAATCTTCAATCATTTACAGAAATTATTATTTTAGGTTACTATAATATTAATTGCCCATTTGATTTATAGTGAGAATACAGAACAAAAAAGTACAGTTACACTTATGTAGAAAGTTTAGTGAATTAAAGCAAATGAACTATATTTCCTTTAGATAAAAGTTTTCCAGTGTTTCATTCATATAGGTGGTTCAAGAGGTCAAACAACTAATGAAGAATTAATTTATGTCAATTTGTGTTTATTATTACAGAAATGCCACAAATATTGCTGCAAATCTTTAAAAAAGTTGACGTAAAAAATTGTGTCATTTTAAGGCACAATATATCTGACATATTTCCGGCAAAACCTTCAGCTTAGTCCCTTATGTATCAGGGGTCGCCACCTGGGGTCGGATGCCCTACCAGCTGCAACCCAGATGGAAACATACATACATACATATTGTGCTGTATCAACACTTTGTACATAATGCACAATATAAGCAAATTACTAATCTGTACACTACTAATATTCACCTTCAAGGCAACGCTATACACTCATTAGTAATAAATGATGTAGCAGAAACTGTCAAAAAAAAAAAAAAAAGTAGTGCCTTTTTTTTGTTATAGAAATAGCTCTTAAAGAAACACTCCACTAACTCTTCAGAGTTAGCCAGTCCGCTTGTTAAGACGTGATGGAATACGGTTTCTGCTTCTCATTTGAATTGTGAAAATATTTGTTTAGGTTTTAGTTCTATCACACATTAAAGTAAATTTATATAAAATCATGGTGTTCATGACAGTCTCTGTGCTGCATCACAGACATCAATATTTTAACAATTTATAAAAAATTAATCACTTTCTGGACATTGGATTTTAAGCCATTTATATATGCCCTCGTAATTTTAAAAAGTATTACAGCGCTTTGTAAATGTTTGTTATTACCATTTGTTGATCCTCCCCAAACAGTTGTATATAGCGCTTGGACCTGAAAGCCTCTTCACGTAATGTCACATTTAACAAGCAAGTTAAGTCAATTTCCTGCTCTGGAGTGATAGCTTTTGCTTAGTTTAGCATAGATCACTGGATCATATTAGACCATTAGCATCTTGCTAAAATTAAAAAAAAAAAAAAATTTCAATAATTTTCCAATGTAATGCTTGACTCTTCTAGAGTTACACTACTGTATGTACTAAGACTGACAGAAAATGAATTGCTTGGCCAATATGGCTAGGAACTATACTCTCATTGTGGTGTAATAATCAAGGAACTTTGCATCAGTACCATGGCTGCAGCAGACACAATGATATTATGCAAATTCTTATTAGTGGTGCAAGTTCATAGGTCTTGGTGGTGGAGACTATTTTCAGTTGATTCATAACATCAATTGCTCCCACCAAACCCAGAGATCAGCTGAATAGATAAAAAATGATCATGCTAAAGATGACACATACCAAGTTTCATTAAAATACTCCAATGTGTACATAACATTTTTAGTTTATGAAAACAACTCTAAGTGTCTGACACGGAAAAACTAGATTTCATTTAACGCCAACTATGCTTCTCCGAATCTGATGAGCCCTGTCTTGGGATTTTTGGCCAAACTATTCAGAAGTTGTAAACAAAAAGAACAGTTTTTCTGACCACTAGATGACACTGAACAGGTAACCTCTGGTTATGATTGTCAAAAGACATACCAAGTTTGGTCAGCATCATCTGATAGAGACCAATGGTCTAGGACATTGGTCTTAAACTCGGTTCCTGGAGAGCCGCAGATCTGCACAGTTTTACTCCAACCCTAATCAAACACAGCGGATCTAACTTATCAAGCTGTTCAAGAGTACTAGATACTATTAAGCAGGTGTGAGTTGGAGGTGGTTGAAGAAAAACTGTGCAGAGCTGTGGCCCTCCAGGAATTGAGGTTGTGACCATTGATCTAGGAGGAGATAAAAAGTGTTTCTAAAAATCCAAGCTCATCAATTCATTGACAAAAAAAATAGAAAAATTAAGAAAATTGGAAAATTATAAAAAAGGGAGAATTGAAAAACTTTGATGTCACTTAAAAGCAATTGCATCAAGCCAGGAAATCAAGCCATTTCAAAAACATTTCAAACCCTCCCTTTTTTGAAAATTACTAGCTTAAACATGAGTGAAAATTTGGACAGTTGGTAACTTAACATGGGAGAGATAACAAATTTGTGTAAGCTATAATGTTATTTTTTGTTAATGTTAATGTAATATTTAGTTAATGTGATTGTAAGTTAATACTGTCCAGTGCCAAATTACATAAATGTTTACCATAACGTTCCATTGGCTGTCACAGATTTAACAGTGAACAAAAAGAAGAGGAAAAAGACGGGTAATTACAGCTGCCTATACAAGTTCTGTCAAATAAATATTAAAATAATAAACACTCACACCCAAACTGAAACCAACATAGACAACAATCAGGAATTCCATAACACAATATTGTTGAGCTCTGGGCCTGTCTAATCATGTCTAACAGAATGTTTAGTAATAAAGACATCCCGTGCAGTAAGATGGTTTACAGTTATTATTACACATTATTCTACCTGGGACAGCTTATTCAACTTATCAGATGAAGCTCCAATAACAATGCATGCTTCCAATAATCCTGAAGGCAGACCGTCTGCCATTGAAAATCAACAGATCTGCAAAGAAAGAAACAACAATGAAGAAAATACTATTATTCATTTAAATTCATCCCAAATTAAATCTTAAAGAGGATAAACATTTCTGTTTGACACTTAATGTGATGTCCCTTAAAGATTCTATATTAAAATTAATGAAATATTAACACAAATGTCAGCTAAGTGATAAGCGAAAACAATCAATTATCTTTTGCAAAGACAGAGCAGGACACAGGTAACATTTTGAAGGACAACACCAATGATGCCAGCTATTGTAGTAGAAACCATGAAGAAACAAGTTATAACAGGCTCACAGGACAACACGGATGAGGCATGCGTCACTAATCAGATTTTCCTGCTCTGGGAAATTCAAGGGTTAAACTGGATTCATGTGTGGTGCAAGAGTAAAAACTTCTCAGCAGAAGAGCTAAAGGGATGGTAAAAATTCAGTCCTCATTTACTCACCGTTTATTTGCCACAAACCTTATTGACTTTCTTTCACCTGTCGAAAATATTTTAAAGAAAGCTGAAAACCTGTCTCTGTTGACCTTATTTGTTTTTACTTACAATGAATGACATCGCTTGCAGAATAGTAGCTTTCTTTAAATTATCTTCATTTGTGTCTAACAAAAAAACAAAAATATTCAAACAGGTTTGAAAGGTGACAGATAAATAATTATTGAGTAATAGTTTATTTTTTTGGGTGAACTATTACTTTAAGGCTAGATGATTTGAATAAGCAAATTACGTATGAAAAATGACTATTTTAAAACTGCAGTCCACAACTGAAACACAGTGCAAATCATAGTAAAAAGGCTAAACTGTTTGCAAAAGAAACAAGCAAGCAAATAATAATAATAATAATAATAATAATAATAATAATAATAGAACACAAAAATAATAGTCATCATCATCACATAAAATTAATAATATTTCACAATCCACGTTGCAAATCATTCGGGTATTGTTTTTGACATAAAATAGTTGATACTTCAAGCACAATAACAGACAAAAGCGTGTTAAGCGTATTAGAAATAACTGCAAAGGTGCTTTCAAATATGAAGTGTCGGTCTCTCTGTTTGCGTATAATCTTGTAATCTTTAAAGTTGTATGGTTACGATGAAAATATTTTTTCTGCAGCACTTTTTTTCTACAAATACAGAATGCCCACATTGCCGTAGAGATGAAAATGCACGCACCTTTTGTCGATCCGTATTCCGAAAGTGAAATTAAGCATCGGAAGAGATGGAGGCAGATAAGTCACAATGAACAAGCAAGAGGCGCACAGGATCTGCGCATGCGCTTCGGTATTAGCAACAGTTTTCAAAGGTCAGCGTATACCTTTAGCTTGACACAGTAACAGTGCTGAAAATTAGAAAAGTATTACATTTATTGTTGGCACTTCTAACTACGCTTATGACACATATCACAACAATATTCATTTAATATTAGATATTTTAGGGGGATAAATATTATAATGTGTATGATAAACACCCAATAAGGACTAATAAACAGCTGACTTTAAACATGAAACATTAAAAAACAACATTTTGTGAACCTGAGTCAATTATTGGCATTGTATAAATTATTGGCAATAGCTACAAATACAATGTCAAAATTACGATCATGCCAGAAATCATTAGAATAGCTATAATCTTCCATGAATATATTTGGTAACTTTCAGACTGTGCAATATATCAAAAGTAATTTTTGGATTAGCAATGTACATTGCTTTCATTTGGAAATCTTCAAATATTCTCAATACTTTTTTTAAACTAAGATTTCAGATTTTCAACATAATATCTTGGGCAAATATTGTACGATCATAACAAACTATAAAAGGAAAGATTGTTTATTCAGCTTTCAGGTAATGCACATATCTCAATTTAAAAATAGGACTCTTAGGCCTGTGACTTATTTTGTGGTTCAGGGTCAAATATCTCAGAACTCAAAATAAAATCATCAACTTTTAAATAAAAAAGATACAACACACTATATTGTGGTTTTACCAACTTATGCTGATTAGCAGATGCAAATAAGTGCTCTCTATTCCTGTCTTCAAATTTATGCCTTAAGACATACAGGCCATGTGATTTATAGAAGCTGCATTACGTATATTAAGGATTCTATTAATCTTATTTAAAAAATATTTTAATTATTTTAATTATTTTTTATTATAATCATAAGTCATATTCTTAAAACCTTTTTGTTTTATTTGTGTTTACCGTTCTATGATGTTATAGCCCAGTATATTTATGTTTATAAATAAGATGAATGATTAAGAAATGACAAGCAAGACTGACTGTTCTAACACTCTAATGCTAGAGTTTCCTCAAGCAGGAAAACCACTAAGTTGTGAGAAGGCTAAAAGTGCCCACACACACAGACAAAAGTTGATTGCAAAAAATGATGCAAGTGCAATTACTTGGTCAGCTGTTTACAAACTTTACATCCACTTGACCGAATACGCTCAGAAAGGTAATGGTATGTTTGTATTTATGGTCCATACTTGCACCTTGAAGGGTCTACATATTAGCCTACTTAAAAAGTACAAAACTAAATGTGTGATCTCTTACCCAGTCTGCTTTTGGTGTAAATACCCACAGGTACAGTGGTCGGGACCACATAGAAATACAGACTTTCCAACACAGAGCACATTTCAAAATAGAATATTGTGCTGTGCTGTTTTTCTTAAACAGTGAACATTTCCATATCTCCAAATAAACAGAACATTACACACACACAGGGAGGTTAAAAAACATTTCAAATGGATCTTTAATCTGTCAATGTTAAAAAAAATGTTTTAAACAAAAGCGTGCACTACTTTTGAATGAATCACGTTAATAAAGATGTATATTTTTCATTTATGCAGTGCTACTCAGTTAGATTTGGCTCTTCAGTTTCAATGGGGCCAATGAAAATGACTTCTTTGCAATAATACTTTGAATGAACTAGAATAGGGATGGGCAACTTCGGTCTTGGAGGGCCACTGTCCTGCAGAGTTGAGCTCCAATCCTAATCAAATACACCTGCCGATTGCTTTTATCTTGTTTAACTTGTTTAGGTGAATTTGATTGGAGCAAAACTCTGCAGCACACCGGCCGTCCAGGACCAAAGTTGCCAATCCCTGAAGTAGAACTAAAACAGGAAAATTATTTTTACTGCTATTGCATAAAAAATTACAGATCTATCAATATCAATAAACTAGATTTGCTACTTGTTTTGTTTTTACAATATCTCTTTAGAAATACAATATATTTCAATATAATGAAATGGTCTTGAAAAACAAAACCTTACAAAGGAATAATTCTTATTCAAGAACACAGCTGACCTACTACATTTGTATATAGGCCTACTTTAAATTATAATATGCAGTAATAGCTAATATGCACCCATGTGCCTTTTTTTGTGTGAAAGTCATTCATAAGAAACGGTTAAGAAAATAAAACTACTCATAATAGCTTGATAGTCATTTTCAAGAGGTGCTTATTCAAAAATATCTTTAAAAAAAAACGTTAGTTTCAACCCGTTTTTTAACATCCCCATGAAAGGTGTGACATCAAGAGTAGATCAAATGTACGTACACAAAATCTGTTTTTTCCTTAAACGTTGCCATTTGTATGTAAAAACACAATGAATGTGGAAAGGAAGCGTTAACATAAAATATATATGATTCCTGTATAAATTATATATTATCTTTCACCCTCTACTGGACGAAATCAGAAACAACAGGGGTAAAAGGGTAAAATGCGCTCCTAGAAAAGCGTTCAAGCATCTCTGGCTGCACAGGAACATACCTTCCACTTTCTTGTGATGTACGTACGCCATCTTGTGTTCACAGGCGGCAAAGCCAAACCAACAGCGGAGAGTAAACAACCATAAAATATGGTACTTGTTTCTTTAAGAAAAAAAAACCCCAGGAACTAATACATTCGAATAGAGCAGAGCGCAGATGTCAATCTCAGTTGATGGAGGGCGGCAGTTTACCTTTAACCATAATTAAACACACCTGAGCAAACTAATGAGTTCTTCAGTCTTGTTTGAAATTTACAGGTGTGTTGAAGCAGGGTTGGAACTAAACTGTGCAGGGCTGTGCTCCTGTTTAACACCCCTGCTATGAAGAATAAACAAATATGGGTAACAATTTAGTTTAGGTCACAATTCATGTTATTAATTACTGGTTTAATTAGTTACAAGAATCTAATATGTATATGAATAAATACCAGTATCTAATAGGCTGTCAAAATAAGAACAAGTATTGTTCACACAGTACCTAAAACACACACTAGTTCTTAATGGAATAGATGCTAATTTCTAAAAATAGATACTACTAGCATGGAAATTATGGATAATTATTATTTTTTATTTAAACATTAAAACAGCTAGGTATTCATATTACATAAAAAGTAAAATAAATTCAATCACATAGTGTGGCAGTTTAAAACAAACCATTCAACCAAGAAGAGTGTAAAACTTTCTTTATATTGAACAGAATTCAAAACCTCAACTGGAACCAGTGTAAACGTTCAATTTGGTTCAAACACTGAAAAAAAAAGTCACAGCAGTACCACAAAAAAATGAGGATTAAAAATAAAAAGTGTCCACCTTGGTCAGGAAACACGCACAAAAATAAAAGAGCCAGTCCACTGACCTCTGTACAGCTACTATACAGACTCCAGCAATGTATTGAAACTACATTTAGAAGCGGCCACTTAGCCAGCGGAGTCAGGTGACTAACTCTAAGAAAACATTTGGCCTGAATAAAAAAACAACACCTTGTGTATATAAACTACACAAGAGTACCAGAAACGTTAATGAAATTGGCTGTGAGAAATACTGCTACTACTGGAGTGTCATCGCTTAAGATGGAGGCTGACAGACAATAAAAAACTGCCCCGACAGCTAAACCCATTTCTTAATTTCGCTCTACAGCAAAGCCTTTCCTTTATTCAACATCCCTTCTTTCTCTGTGCTCTTTCTCCCTTGAAATAGTGTACCTAATAAAATCAAGTCAACTCTCAAAATCAATGTCTTCACCAAAAATATAAATATAGATATATTTTGGCATTGTGCATAGTTAAATCTAAAGAAGTGAGCGATCAAAAGCGCTCAAGCAGCAGCCGTTCAGCTTTAACCTGAGTGTTTGTCATGATTCGAGGCAGATGAAGCAAACACGATGATAATCGGACGTATTTTAGCGCTAAAACATACGTCTAGAATGATGCAAAAACTTATATCTGGTATATAAATGACTTGTGAATGACGGGGAATGATTATTAGCGTGTGAAACTATATTTTCCACTGTAGTGACGTAAACAAAAATGCTTCAACTGAAATTAAAACTTGTTGTGTAGACAATGGAGATTTTGGCCCCAAATAATAAATAGCTTGAGAAATAATCTCAAGAAATTACGTATTTGACTCAAATAGGTTTGATTCCGTACCATATCCACAGAATTACATTCAGCATATGTGTGAGTCTATGATTGCTAGAGAACGTCCAACTTGGTCTTGCTTGTGCATTCTGGGATTTGTACTTTAAAACTCAAGTATTATTATTATTTTTCAGCTCTAACACCTAAACTGAGGATGCAGTCTCTGGCTTGTTTCTTAATTTCTCTGCACTGCTATTGGACGCCACCTCCGATTTCACAGATCCTGGGCCTTGTTCTTCTTCGTCATCATCATCTTCGTCGTCGAGTGTATCAGGGTAGATGACGAGGAAAGCTGCAGCCAGGAAAGCCAGACAAGAGCCTCCAGATGCCACCATTGGAATAACTCTCACCGTGCCGACCGCATCTACCACTGCACCGAGAGCAGACGCCACCAGGATCTGAGAGATGTACACTTGACACGTCAGGATGGCGCAGTCGATGCCAAAGCCTCGCCGTGAGTTTCCAGGGCTGTGGTGGATGTACTGTCAAAGAAAACGTAATCATTGATTGAGAGACCTGCTGCCTTGAGCGAAAATAATTTACGAATTAAGTGTATATAAAACAGAAAGGGTAAAAATACAAGAGAATATTTTCCTGATATAAAGCGTTCGCTGAATGAGTAAACATTAACGTAAAATAAAACTATTCCATGTATTATTATTTCAAATAATATCCCTTATTTGGATGCATAATGTGATCAAATTTCATCATAACTAAGATTAGACTATTAACTGATTATTGTGATAATTAGCCTAGACTAGGTCCTCCAGAAAGGTTAAAGTAATCTTGATGGATTTCATATTTTTGAGTGTCAGTGAATTTTTTATATATATATATATATGGCAAACATTAGTTTATAAAATGATACACACCTCTTTGATCTCATGGTATTGTCCCAGCAGAGCATAAGGGCAGTATGACATGCTCATAGAGATGACCCCCATGGTGCTTATCATCACCATCGCTACATATACATTTGGAAAGATGGACATGACTGCTGTACCAACGGCAAATCCCAGAGTCCCCAACATGTAGGTAATTCTTATGCTCAGGTCATAGTTGTTCAAGATCCTCTGGAGCACATCTGAAAAACACGTTTATGATTATTTATCAAGAATAATCATTAAAATGAACAACAAAGAAACTGAACTGTAATAACGTTTATTTATATAACACAATTATACATTTTCAATATTTATATTAGTGCTGGGCAAAGATTAATCGCGATTAATCAAAAAATAATTGACATAAGACGTGTGCATATTATATGTTTTTATTATCTATATGTAATACACATATACTTAAAAACACAGACAAACACATTTTCTCAAATAAATGCATGCATGTGTATATATATATATAAAATTAGTGCTGGGCAAAGATGAATCAGATTCTAAAATGAAAGTTTAGATTGACTCATGTATTATCTTGTTTATAATATTTGTGTGTGTGCTGTGTATTTATAGTGTTTATATAAATACACATATTTCATATAATTGAATGTAATATGATATTTTTTTAATAAGAACACGTATAAGGAATGCAATGCAATAAGGTCAATTTAATATACTTCATTAATTTGTTTTCATATAATATAATTTTATTATTGGCCAACATGATTTATGAGTTAAAGAGAGACAATGCTACTACAGAAAATTTCATTAATTTCTCTGGATTTACTGGATTTATTATGTATGTATTTGAGTAAAATTTAAAGACTTTGGTTGTTTTTTTGTTTAAGGTCTAATACAATGCGTTCCGAATTTCAAATAAAAATATTGCCATTTTGAATTTTAGTTTTAATAGCAAATGTTTTAATTTGCTGTAATTAAAACAAAGGTTACCGCACAGCAAACTGATTTAATATATCTTCAATCTTTAAAGGTACAGTACATCACAAGGTAATGTCTGAGACAGAAAAATGGCTCTGACATTCAAAAAGGAAGTGAAAGATTTAAGACAAACAATAACTTAAAAGAAAATCTGCTTATTTAAAACCGGCGTCATGTGAGTGTCTGAGTACAGAACTGAAACCTGATTAGCCTACTAGAAAATACAAACAAACTTCCCATGCTTTCTGGTTTTGACCTTTGTTAGATACATTTGGTCAAGCATATTGGTATTCTGAGGCTTGAAGTAACAGGGTATCTGCACATTTTTTAACAGGAAATTTAAGACCTTTTAAGACCTTTTTAAGTCCTCTAAAATGAAAATTTAAGACTTTACCTAAACAAAAAAAAAAAAAACTGGAAAATGTTCAGTGTGTCAACCCAGAATGATGTGGTGAAGTATGGCGGCAAATCTATGGCGGCAAATCAATGCCAATATAAATTGAGCGCAGCGGTGATGTTTGCGCGCAAGGAGAAGTGAACCGTGAGCAGATTACTTGGTTGACTTGGTTTACTTGTTATCTCTAACGCTATTGGCTACTCTGCCTTTCCGGAAGTTAGCCGGGATTGGACGCAGGTTAAAAGATCACGCCGTTAAATATATATACAACTTGCAAGTCATAATCATAAGAAACTTTCTGAGAACTTTATGAGGATTCAATCTCAAGAAACAGTCAAATAATAATAATTAATCTTCTAAAATAATGACTTGCATTCTTGTAACATGACTTTCTGAACCCATTTGATTTGTCCCGTGCAGCACTTGTCTGGTTTGTTGTATTTAACTTCATTATTAACCACAACAGCAGTGCTCATTATGAGACTTGGGGATGATCTTTCTAGGAAATATTGTCTTCAGAAGATTTTATTAGCTTTTTATATCTTTCCATACAATGCATACTATATGTGCAGTGCAGCTTTGTATATTATTATAATTATTAACATTGTTTGTAATATAGATCAGTGGGAAAAAAAAAAATATATATATATATATTCAATCATTAACTAAAAATTATATATATATATATATATATATATATATATATATATATATATATATATATATATATATATATATATATATATATATATATATATCAATCTAATTTTTAGTTAATGATTGAATAACCTGCATATAAAGCCTTCAATCAAAAATGATTAGCCCAATCAAACATAAAAAATACAGTGACAGACATACAGACATTCAGCAACAATTTAATTTCTACAATCTTCGTTTGGCTTTACTCACTGCATGTATCCATTACATTATTCCACTTCAGAGGCATACAAATACCACTTTCTATACAACATGCCCACATCTTAAAGGTCACATATGCAGTTGAAGTCAGAATTATTAGCCCACTTTTTTCTTGTTTTATTTTGGCTAGAATAAAAGCAGTTTAAAATTTTTAAAAACCCATTTTAAGGTCCATATTATTAGCCTCTTTAAGCTATTTATTTTTTTCGTATGTCTACAGAACAAATTATCGTTATACAATAACTTGCCTAATTACCCTAACCTGCCTAGTTACCCTAGTGAAGCCTTTAAATGTAAATGTAAGCTGTATAGAAGTATCTTGAAGAATATCTAGTCTATTATTATTTACTGTCATCATGACAAAGAGAAAATAAATCAGTTATTAGAAATGAGTTATTAAAACTATAATGTTTAGAAATGTGTTGAAAAAATTCTTCTCTCCGTTAAATAAAAATTAGGATAAAAATAAACAGGGGGCTAATAATTCAAGCGGGCTAATAATTCTGACTTTAACTGTAAAGTGGAATAACAGACTAATGGCAATATATTTACTATAAACCTTTGTACTTTATGCACTGCATGCATGTATAGCCTATTTTGTATAATATTGTCCATCCAATTTATTCTGACTTGTTCTTCATAGAAAATGAGTCAAGGACAATGAGTCTAAGAAAAAAAAAAGATTTTTATAAATTTGAACACGTTTGGCTTGAGTTTAGTTTAAATGTAGGTGCTAAACTTCATCAAATGGTTCAAAACACACATTTAAAGTCTGAATTATTCGTCCTGAATTATTAGCCCATGTATATTTTCCCCAATTTCTGTTTAACTGAGAGATCTTTTGCCACATGGTATAACTCTCTCTTTCTCTCCCAAGTAATAAAGTTTGTTACAGAAATATATCTCATTATTTTAATATGTCATTATATGACTTGGTCATGATGGTAAGAATAGGCATTATTATGAGATAAATTATTACAAGAAATATCTCATTATTGAAAGTAAGTCGTCACCTATTACTGAGAAAGTAAGTCTATTAGTTTCACATTGTGACATTATGATAAGATATCCTATATATCTTTATTTAACAGGGAAACTAGCTTACCTGCGTCCAATCCCGGCTAACTTCCGGAAAGGCAGAGTAGCCAATAGCGTTAGAGATAACAAGTAAACCAAGTCCCGCCCAAGGACTGACAAAAATCCAATATGTTTCGCGCGAGCAGAGAGAAGAATCAGCGAGCGAGCGGAGAGAACTGATCGCGCGCGCGCGCTGTAGGCATGACCTCGCTCGCGTGAGCGTACATCGTGCGCACAGATGATGATGTGCGCGCGCGGGACTTGTTTTCTCGCGCTGGATCAGTTGCGTGAAGATTCCCTGTGCGCTCGCGAGCTGTAGTTTTCTCGCGTGTAGACGCGCGTGTTGTGTATATTCACAATACATTTCTTATATTCCAGACGGACTCTAGCAGTCTTTGTTTTCAGGTATGATTGTGGCTAAAAAATTGTGCTTTAGCATTGAAAGTCCTCTTCACCCCCTTCATTTCAAATGTGGATTGCAGACATGATTTCGACAATACAGATAGAAAGACTGAGATTTCAGAGAATTCTTTAGTGTCTGGGGTTTATTTCTCAAATATCTGGATGAACAAACCAGCCACTTATCTCTGGATTCTTCAGAGACATTTATTTATTTGTTCGTTCATTCATTCGTTCATTTTTCCTTCTTTCTTTATTTTATTGTCTGTTGTCATTCCCTAATCTATGTTGTCATTGTTGTTTTGCTCATTGACTTGTACAGGATTTATCTGGGACAGTGCTGAGTGTTGTGTGAATGTGTTTCTCTGTGGTTGTCCTTGAAAAAAAAAAAAAATCAATAAATATGATTATAAAAAAAAAGAAAATGCAAACAAAACAGCAGTCCTCAACATTCACATTGAGTTTTCAAAACAGCTGAGCATAACACACACAAACACACACCTGAGCAGAGTGCAGCTGTAGCCGCATAGATCACCAGCCCCCAGCAGCCCATCTTCACACCTTTACCGTAGTCATGCAGAGCGGTGGAGTTTGCAGCAGCCTGTTTCCAAAAAACATCAATTAGATATCTTGCATATTCACACAAGTACATGCAGTAAAATAGAGCTTGCGTCATTTCAAAACACTACAGTAAATTACTTTGTACTTAGTCATAAGTTCTCTGATAGGTCTATTGGATGAGTTAATGGATGAATTAGTCTTGCAGCATATTTAAATTTTTGAAAGGGATTAAAATTAAAGAAGCGCAGCACGATTCTGGCTAAAATGAGAATCACAATTTGTTTTTTGCTTAAAATCACTATTTTCTCACAATCCTGTAGATGTAAAATAAAGGTTAATATGAGTAGGCTTTTATTATTCAGGTTTTCTACAGGTTTCATCAAGTCAAATTTAAGACTTTTTAAGAGCCTTTAGGACCATTAATAAGGAAATTTTAGATTTTTTAAGACTCAGCAGACACCCTGATTATTGCTATTTCTCAAACATGTGATAAAATAACAATCAAATTATTATGCGTAGGTCTACTGTTGGTTAAAATGCTACATTTTGTAGACTTGCAACACTGGACGTAAATAAATGTAAACTTTTTCAAGGTCATTAACGCACTGTAAACTGATGACATCAGAATTCAAATATTCATAGTTCTAAAGTTGAATTATTGTGTTTGAGACATATGCTTGCAATCTGTCATTGACACCATTATTAGACCATTTTTTTTCCACTGGTAAAATGAGACATTTGCCATTATCAGATGACAAACGATTGCTCTGTGCAACAAACTAAATGTTATTTACAACTTTATTACCGGTTATTCATAGCTTACATAGGTTCTGTTTACTAAAATAGACATCATTGGCGGGCACATGCATGTCCTTTCGGTAGTAAACACACAGTGTGTCAGCTCACATGTTGTTTCGCGACCACAATCACATCATTACACAAAGACAGAAATTACATTTTTGGTTGAATTATACCTTACAAATACAGTATGTAATTTTTTTAACACCATTTGGAGGTGTTTATGTTGCCGAACCATGTATATAAAACAATGTGAAGACTTCTGTGACTGCCTTTGTGATTCTCTCCTGAACTTGAAAATATTATTGGCTGAATCATAGAAATGGTGGATTAAGATTGTGTAGGGGGTTGAACTGAGATTGCAATCTTTTTTTCTATGAATCATGCAGCTGATTGAACTGACTGAACTGTATTTTAGCCATGTTTAAATTAGTGAAACAATATTCCAAAAAATAACAACAAAAGTACTTTGATTATTCAAAAACTAATTTTAAAACCCGTTTTAAAAAACTGGTTGTGAAAAGGACTCAATCTAAAACACTTATACAGTGTGTGGCAATACAAACACTTCGGGGAAAAAAAAAAGATCCAACAGAGCCGTTCACAACCTCAATTTTAAGACCAAACTAAATTTACAGAATAAAATGATAGCAAAAAATGATTTCATGATTTTTTTATTGGTTAGAAATAGGTTTAAAATGTGTACTGAAGTTAAAAAAAAGTGCCTGAAAACTCCTTCGTCACAGACACACATGCAGACACAAACAAATAAATCTGCAGCATGACTCATTTCTGACATCAGTGTTAACCAGTAATTAGCAACATCACAACTATAAGAACAAACAGGTGTGCTTGAGCATCTGCCCTGTTTATGGTGAATTGTTGTAACATCATGTCCTGTTTTTTGGGGTCCATTTAGACAGCATTGTTAATGGTTGCATTCATATTTCAGCCATTTGTATTTCCGAGAAGTTTCTCTTTGTTTGTTCTGTTCACACCAGGATTTAGATGGCTGCAATCACACTTCAGTGAGCCAGAATAACAAAGCAATTGTACCAGACTTTTGTTTGAACCTAACCAAACCTGCTCTGTGTGAACGCCCTAAATCTAATCCCTCACCACATCTTTTCTTCCCTTCACTCTCTCTCATTTCCTTTTATAAACCTATTTTACAGTTTAGGTAGAAAAAAAGTTTCACTGAAGACCGTAAAAACAACAATTTCCCTATTAAATTTTCAATATTTAATTTACCAAATGAGCATGATAGGACAAAACATTTTAATTATGGTTAACACTTCAGTTTATGTAAAAATTCACACCATTTACTACTGGCCATTACCTGCCTACTATTAAGATATTCACTGTTTATTAGCACTTTTAAAGTATGATCTTATTTTACATCCTTAATGCTACTCAATACCTAAACCCAACTACTACCTTAATAATGATTAATAAGCAGCTAATTAGTAGTTTGTTGAGAAAAAATTTAGTTAATGTTGTGTTAATGGCGTGAAATATACATTAAAATTAAACGTGACCAAACTGTGTATTTTTTTAAAATCATTTTAAAATTATAATTACGTGAGTGTGTTGGTACTAAACCCATGTGCATAATAAGAAATTCGTATAAGAAGGAGTGACAAAAAACCCAGTTAACTGCAACAACTGCAATTTGAAGTGCTAGAAATAATAAAACTAGGAATCCTCATTTCAGTTAATTTTGCCAATCGACAACCGCCGCTCGTTAACTGCGAACAGCAGCCTGAGGAAACATTAACAACAGAACATCTTCACGCACTTGCAATGTTTCCAACAGCATGGAAAAAATAATAATAAAAAAAAAAAAATAGTCCTGCCCTAGATATTTTTTACTTAAATTTTGATTACAAAACGAAAACACTGACTGAATCCTTTTAAACCGACATTGGCTGTTTTTTCCACTCATGTTTTTTTCCCTCCGTCAAATAAAAATAGCAGGCTCAAATTGATCGCTCCATGAACAATATGCATTCAATTAACGCTCCGCTGTTATTCTTAAATAATAAACCTCTGTCAACATTTTTAATAGAAGTCATTTATTTAAAGATTATGTCTTAAGCTTCTGTGCTTTCATTTCCTCTGCCTTACAGTTCATGTGTGCGTGCTACACGTGATGAGAGACAATGACAAAGCTCATATATTGTCTTTTTGTAAAGTATAGACTACTATAGCATATAAGAATTGTGTTGTTTACAAATAAAATTGCACTAATTTGTATACATGTTTTATAAGCTATAAAATGAAAGCCTCAGTTTGGTGCGGATTTATCAAAAAATCTAGAAAATCTTAGGATTTGTTTGATTCACAGGTTACGTAGGCTATTTCAAAAACGGATATTTTATAAGAACTATTAATAAAAAGGTTGGTTTTTTGGTTGTACACTAAATCTTCAAAACTATAGCCTATTTGTTTGTTTATGAGGCGCACTGGAGCATGCTCTGATGGAGAGAAAACCCAGACGCTCTGACTTGTGGCCAGCTCATTTCCAAAGCAACGCACATCTCAGAAAGTTTTGTTTTTCAGCTTCTTTTTCTAATTGTTTAAATAAACGAAGGTGTTCATGACACGCATCCAGGACAGAGGCAATCAGCATTAGCGCTGGTTTGGCATTAACTCATCAGTGTCAAACTGTGACCAGCAATATCTTTCTTTTATTTTGATTCTTTGGCATATATATATAATTTTTAATCATTTAACTGATACCATTAATTGGTTAACGGTTAATCTTTTACTATGAGCATCCCTAACTAAAACATAATGAACATTTCAAGAGTTCACACTTAGATATTGCTTGACAGCTGTAAGCAGGTTTGGCATGCTGTCCCGGGAGAGAACCCTGAGCTTGAAGATAGTTGAGCCCAGGGCTCCCGCCAGGTCCATAGAGCATGTGAGGGGAGTACGAGATCAGGTGGTTCTCGAGAGCTCCCCTTTTTGTAAAGGAGAAAAGGAGGAGAAAGGGGTGGATGGGGGGTTTCTTCGGAAAATGAAGATAAGGGAGTAATGTCTAGCTAGGCTACTTATAGTGGGTTGGGATAGATCTGATTGGCTAACTAATGAGTGTAGATAGGTGGCCAGCTGCTGTCAATTATATCACGTGCTCCTCTCGAAATTAGTTTAAAAACTTCACTTGATTGAAAACAGGACTGATGCTGGATAAGAAATCTGTCACAACAATTATTTTTTCAACAGAATTTTTCCCCATTTAAAGATCTATGTGCATTTTTTTAATTGCTGCACAATAAATAAATGTATAACAGTTGGATAGATAAAAAGACAGACAAATACATTTAGCTGTTTTTTACTCTATTATATTATTGCTATTTTTATAGTGCATGGTGGCTTAATCATTCAGCATATTATTAATCATAACTGTAGGCATGATACCTTATTTTAACCAGGGTTAGTAAAAAATAAAATCTTTAGAATTTTAATTAAATATCTAAAATTTACAATTAATTTGAGATAAATGACAAGATAAAGATCTGTTCTTACAGTCGGGTCTCCTCCATAGATGACCTGCCCCATGAAGTCAGTGTAGAACACAGCCTGTGCGATCATGGAGAACCAGGTGAGCAGGTGACACACGCACAGACGCCACAGCTGAGGCGGCATCTTCAACATGGACAACCACAGGAGTTTGACTGTGGTCTCACTTTCACCATCCTCGCTCTCTTCATCCTCCTCATTCCTGCGGGATGCAGAAATGCCACCAAGCTGCAGCTTCCGCCGTTCGTGCCGTCTAGTTATTTTGTCGAGGTCATTCAGACTTCTTGAAGATTTAATCGGGCCGGCCATATTGCCATAGCGTCTTCGCCACTGAAAACCCACACGTCCATGATAAGAGAAAGTGAATGAGGGCTGCCGGTAGAATGAGGGTGTGCGGCGACGCATTGGGACATTGTAAGGACGCAAGCCAACTTTTCCATGTTGATTGGTGGCATTCGCTGCTCCATTGATTGGATTTCCAGAAGCCGAAAAGCTTCCGTTTAGAGTTTTGTGAGCTGTGCAAATATGATCTCCATTACTAGAACACTGCTGTAAGTGATCGCCAGAGCACTGATCTAGCTGGTTTGTGTTGTAGTAATCCAGCGTCGCCCCATCATCTTGTACACCCTGATAGTCCTGAAATAAATTTGGTTCTATGTCGCACAGAAACTGCCCATCACGATCTAGGTCTGGGTCCAGCTCTATGGTTGCATCTGGCATGGCTAAAACGGAGTCGCTTTTACTACGCACCAAATCGATGTTTAAGAAGTCAGTTGAAAGGTCCCGCTCAGACCGATCATCCTCATGGGGGGTAAACGGCTCTTCCTCTGGAATAATTTCTAGCTGGGGCAAGAGACGAGTGGATGGGAAGCTGCCATAGGGCTGGACAGGAGCTAGTTTTTCTTCATCCTCGTCCTTCAGTGCCCCGGTCAGGCTGGGGTTATAGAGATGCTCTTTGATGCTGAAAAGGTGAAGCGTTGCAGAAATGATAAAGATGATGGAAGCGAAGAAAAAGAGCACCTGCTCTTGGGCTTTAAAAGCTTGGCCCAGGAAGGTATTGGTCCAGTCCAGTCCTCCAAGCATGTAACCTAAAGCACCTCCAAGCCCTTAAAGACAGGAAGAGTATCACTTTAAACTTGGAAAAATAAAATATACTATATTAATGTAGCCTTTAAGGCTAAATACTTCCTACAGTTTATGATACAACCCCTTCCAGTTATTGTTTGGCTATTGGAAATGGTTGAAATTCTCCAATTTGGAGGAACATTGAGATTCCAATATTAATACAAATGAAAAGTAGAGGAGAAGAACTTGAAAAGTTGGGCTGTAAAATGTTTTTAATAGTTCTGGTATACAGGCTTACATAAAAAGAACATTTGCTTGTGAGGAATTCTGAAGCTTCATGCAAAGCGACCTACATTTGGTTTTGACCACTAAAAATGTGTACAATATGTCTATTTACCTGCCAGGACACAGCAGATAACAAAGACTTCAAAATGTAAAGAAAGAAAAACACTAAAAGAAAAGGTTGTTAAAGGGAAAATTAAAAATTCTCCCATCATTTACTCACCCTTGACTTGTTCCAAACCTTCTGGTAGACTTCTAAAGTATTTGTTTTTCTACTAGGCTTGTCAATTGTTACAGGATTACAACATTCTTGTAAAAGTATTCTTTTGTGTTCCACAAAACAAATAAACAACAACAACAAACTGGTTTGGAACAAGTCAAGTGTGTGTAAATGAGGTTAGAATTTTATTTTCGGGTGAACTGTCCCTTTAAGAACCAAAACTTAAAAAGATAGAAAACAATGATGTCAACTTTTAATGTTCATTTTTATCCCCCATGCAAACGATGGATTACTCAGTAAAATGTATCCAGAACATCACATATTTTTAAGTTTTTAAAAATCTTTTAACCCAGGCTACATTTGCTTGATCAAAAATACAACAAAAGCTAACATTTACATTTTTTTTTTGCTAAGAACCCTCTGATATATCACAATTTCAAAAGGACATTTGTGATATATTCACAATTTCATATGTGAAATTAAATCACGATATTATAATCACTTATGAGCGATTGCTAAAGTAAAAAAGCTATAATAAAAGAGAATTTAATAGTAGCATATAATCACTAAACATTTTTTCATGTAAAAGCTAAATTCTGATTCTGACTAGATCTTTATTAACGCATAATTATCTAATAAAAACCATCATTTCCCCCCCAATTTGAGTCTGTTATAAGTATGACATTAAAGAGCAGAGCATCCCTGTTCCAGTTCTCTCCCAGTCCCAAAATATATACAATACCTGCTGAGAAAGCATGGATATTTAAAGCCACATCCTGTTCCTCGCTATCAGCCACATCCAGGAGGTAAGCTCTTATTGGACCGTCCAAAGCATCAGCACAGAAGTCCAGAACCACTACACCAACAACAGTCAGCACAATCCCTGCCGGCTGATCACTGGGGACGTCACCCAGAGACAGACCTGTTTGACACATACATTCAAACAGACCATGAGGAAAAAGGAGTCCTACTTAAACAATATTACCATACAATCCTGTAAAGTGAATAAAATCACTCATTTTAAGTGAAATATAAATATATCAAATAATAATGATTACCTATAAGAGATCCGTTGAGAAATAAGGCCAATCCTATTAACAATCCTATACACAGTGCCAAAATGAAGGGTCTCCTCCGACCCCATTTCAAAGTGCAACGGTCGCTTGCTGAGCCAATAAGAGGAGTGAAAATTAAACCCAAAATGGGGCTGAGGAACCAGGTTAAGCTGTAATACTGCTCTGGGAGACCTGCAAGGAGAAACAGAGATCGGGATCAATTCAATTCCAAAATTTCAGGCTTTTAAGTGTGGTCTTAGAACTTGTGTTTAAAAATGTCCCATCTTCAAAATTAAATAGCAATTTCTAAATCTAAATCATCATTCATCACAAACCTAGTAAATTTCTAGGTTTTACCTTCATCAGTGTGCAGTAATTCATCGATGTTTAATTAGAGGGCACCATTCATTTTTGTCTAAAGTAAAGAATTATATTTTTTAACTATATATTATCGGGGGGCATGGTGGCTCAGTGGTTAGCACTGTCGCCTCACAGCAAGAAGGTCGCTGGTTCAAGTCCTGGCTGGGCCAGATGGCATTTCTGTGTGGAGTTTGCAGGTTTCCTCCGGATGTTTCGGTTTTTCTCCAAAAGTTCTAAGACATGCGTTATACGTGAATTGAATAAACTAAATTGACCATAGTGCATGAGTGTGTGTGTGTAAATGTGACAGTGTATTAGTGCTTTTCCAATACTCGGTTGCAGCTGGAAGGGCATCCGCTCTGTAAAACATATACTCGTTAAGTTGGCAGTTCATTCCGCTGTGGCGATTCCTAATGAATAAAGGGACTAAGCTGAAGGAAAAGAAATGAATGAATAAACTATATATTATAGCAAGACAGTATTGATAAAAGTTAAAGCAGGAGATTCTTATTGTGTCTGTGTGTTTATAAAAATGGTTTTATAGCTGGTGGGTCAAAATTGACAACCGACATAAGATAAATGTGTACAGCCTTCATGAAAATGTTTGATTTTTTATAATGTTGTGTAATCATTCTTCATTTATTCGGCAGTGATTATTTCAGTTGATTGATATAGTATTGTTAGATCTTTCAACAGCCAGAATAGATAAAGCTAGAGCCTCAACTCTTGATGAGTGGAAAGCGGCTGCAGACAAACTGGCAGAAAGACTCATGGATAGTACAAGTAGGGGTGGAGTTGAAAACAGAGCCGTCAAGCCGGACAATTCAGGGCTTAAAGTTGCTGCGTGATCACTTATTTATTTATTTATTGAAATAACAACAAAAGATTTACACTACAAATAAAACAGAATACAGTCTCTACAAACTATAGTTCATTTTAAACAACACAGGAATTCTAAATTAAAGTAGCCAATTTAACAAACGCATGAGAAATAAGGGGAAGCGAGAGGGCACATAAAAAAGCATTTTAATCCAAAAAGATTAAACAAAAGGACCAAAATAAATTAGCTACACTTTGAAAAGAAATTTCCCAGAGAGCAGGTACATCAATGTCACTTAAAAATTCTGCATAAACGGCTCGACAGGAAATAAAATATTTTATAATCATTTATTTTATATTTAATAAAATACTGTTTTACTTAATTTGTTAAGAAACCATTAGGGGTGTAAGGATCAATGATGAATTATTTTATTACAAGTCTGTAAGAGTTACGATTTAGATTATTTATCTAAATATATCATTTAAATCATTTATGGAGCTAAATACAGTAAATAATAAATCTATGTCTGACTCTGAATAAACCTCAGCAAACAATCTAGTCTTTATGAACAAATTATTTAACAAAAGATGATACTGCAGAAAAATACTTGTAGTCTTTTAATAAGCATGATGTGTACAAGATAGAGAGGGGTATAAAAAGTTAATTGTTTGTTTTGAAATTTGTGAGACGGAATTTGTCCAAAAATAAACCCTAAACGCACGTGGTTGTTGTCATGCGATGAACCCAGCCAATCGTGTATTATCGGTGTCGTCATCGCAGCTCTAGCAGGCACTCTTCAGATGCTGCACCGACTGAATCAATCGTCTGATCTTGGAGCGCTGGCGCGGTACTTTGATGTCACATGTGACAGTCAGATGTCACACGTGTAGCATCAATCCGGACAAAATTTCTAATCGGAACACACCACTTAAAGACAGATTTTGATTGATCTGCGCAGCGCTGCATGATGTCAAACACACTTATAATCTCAACAAAAACGCCAAGAGAAGGTGGAACATAGTGTAGCTCCTCCCCCTTTAAAAAAAACAGCCAATAGAGTTTTGTTTTATCGCCGATCTGCCAGTAGGAGTGGTTGAGCTCAAGTGCATTAAATGAAAAGCAAATGAGAAACGTCTTGAAGGGGGCGGGGCATGTTAGACAGAGCATTTGATTGGTTATGAATTAATGAGAAACTGTAGAGTGAGGTGACGTGAATAAAATTGTTGATCCATTTAGGCGGAAGTTACAAACTACAAGCTCTATATGTTTATATCAGTTTTATATCTTCTAAACACACACTAGCTTATAGATAGATAAAAACTCAATACTGATACTGTCATTTAAAATTACTTTATTTTAATTTCATGGGACCTTTAACCAGCAATTTACAACATTTACAACACTATAAACCTTTCCACATGGAAAAAATAAAAATGTGTCATAGTAATGAAGCAATCGCACTGCCTCTGATAATCAAATGACCGTCTAATGCGTTGACTCAGAGTACATGAAAAGGTCGTGAGAAAAAGTGAAAAGGATTTTTTGGGGATGATTTAGTCTGGATGGAATTTTCCATGAGTCCAACATTTTCTAGTCTGGCATGCAGAGCTCGTGCCAGCACTGATGACATATTAAACCCAAACACTTGATTACTCAAGTGAAACTTAATTGTCAGACTTCTTCTTTTCACTAAAGGAGAATGTGCAGGTCATGTGTGAAGTGGGATGATGACTGAGAATGTGAGAACAGAAAGTGCAGACAACAGACTTATCACATGTCCACTTCACAAATCATAGCTCTTGGGCTTTTCAGATCAACATCTATCCAACTACACGCTAGCCAGATCAGTTTAGGGTGCAGCATGAAGTAATGAAGTAATCAGCTTGTATTATAAAGCAATAACACTCAGTGTTAGAACTCTCAAGGGCCAGAACTTAAAGAGATGGTTTTGTCAATACACTGAATTAAATCTACCACAGGAGAGGATTTTATCCGTTTTACTTTAAAAACAACCTCTGGTTGATGGCCTATTAAACCACACTCACATTTTCAATTATTTTACCTATTTTCATCAAGAAGGCTATTTAAGATTTTGACACGATGCATATTTTTTTCCAAAACAATTCCAATTAACTTGACAAAACAGAGTGATTTAGGTTCAATTACACTAAATCTTCTGGGAAAATGACTTTTTAGAGTTACATGTTTTTTTTTGGCTTGTTAAATCTACTAAAGTGGTAGATGTTTTTGGTATGAGATCAGAGGGCCTTCAAAGCAATTCAAACCTTTTGTTATATTAACCCTGCAGTTTCCTGAGAGGATCTATTGACATTGATCTTATTCAAAATGGACTAAAAAGCTAGAGAAAGAGGAATGCGCACACTCACACATTCTCTGCATTCCATGCACTTTTGCATGCTACTGTGAAAACAAGCATCCCTCCATCTTACTACTATGATACAGGGCTTGCATTGGCATAACATGCGATTCCTGCCAAATGTAAAGAGATGCCACAGCTCAATGAATATGAATTGGTTTTAAGTATAAAATGAATGTAAATAATAAAAAATCATTCCATAAATATAAAGTGCCAACTGAAGCAAAATCTATGTATTAGACGATGCTATTTTGGTTGCATCAGCCTTTTCATTTAAAACAGATGAATGACATAAATGTTAAGAATGGTATTGTGGAATGTTTTTTCATATACCATGAAAGTCAGTTGTGATAAAAGAAACACTGGAGCCCACTGACTTTGATTTAGTGGGAAAAACAAACAAACAAACAAACAAACAAACAAAAACATTATATATGTTTTATTTTTTAAATATTTTTGTTTACTTGATCATAAATTTAAAATATTCCATCTTAAATCTATTGCAAATAAGACACTGTTTTTATTCAGTGAGTTAAAAAGAACTAAATCATAACTTCCTAATAAACTCACCCCAAATAAATCTAAGAGAAATCGAACGTTTCTGCAATAGGAAAGGCCATTGCATTTTTTCTCTTTTCTGTACATGCTAACCTATTTGCTCTTCAAAGCACACAGTCAAAATGCATTTAATATGCGTGATGAAATAAATTCGCCAGTGAGTTATTGGTTGTGCATTGATAAATTTAAAAGGTTTGATTTTAGTTTATGTGCATGTCTTATTTCTTTTATTCGTTGTATTAATTTTTTGTATGACTTACTCTTGTTGTTTGTGGTTTTTAGTTTGAAAAACATTGGTCAACGGGGTGGCATGGTGGCTCAGTGGTTAGCACTGTCACAAAAGGTCGCTGGTTGGAGTCCCGGCTTGGCCAGTTCGCATTTCTGTGTGGAGTTGACATGTTCTTCACGTGGGTTTCAGTCCAAAGACATGCACTATAAGTGAATTGGGTAAGCTAAATTGCCCATAGCGTATGATTGTGTGTGAATGAGTGTGTATGGGTGTTTTCCAATACTGGGTTGCAGCGAGAAGGGCATCCGCTACATAAAACATATGCTAGAATAGTTGGTGGTTCATTCCACTGTGGCAACCTCTGAAAAGAGACTAAGCTGAAGGAAAATGAATGAACATTGGTTGTTTTTAATTGTGCTAAACTGTCATTAGCCCCTTTCACACATACAGACCTTTCCGGAAAATTGCCGGCAATTTTCCGGAAAGGTTGTATGTGTGAACAGGTCCTTTTTGAAAATACCGGTAAATTCGTTCTGGCTATTTTCCGGAAAGAGAAGTTGTAACATTACCGGCAATTTGTGTGAACTGCAATTTGTGTGGCAATTTGTGAGTCATACAAAACTGTGTGAATGCAGAAGGAAGATTCCCGTAATAAGCGCGTGCACGTCTAGAACGTGCTGACGTGAGACGTCTGCTTTAGCCAATCACAACAGTCAGACGCATTTACGTCCGCACGGTTTGTGAGGATAAAAGCTTTTGAATATTTTTCCAGACACATTTAGCTGCTAGAAGTTAGTCAGATTACGTTTGTATGTTCTTCTTAATGCCAACTGTGTAAATAATCATCGATGAGATGCTTATGATAAGCCGTTGTTTGTTTACCTTCAAGCTTTGCGTGCGCATATGAGCGCCTGCACACGCAGATAATATGAACATCTCGACATGCGAAAGTGATCCTGTGAAAGTTGTTCACAATATTGATCATCCACAGAGTTTGTAATTTAGTCAAATGTTTACAAATACAAGCGCAGCCGTTTAAAGCTCATTTGTGGTGAATGATGTCAGAATTTACCGCTATTTTGGAATGGATGTGTGAATGCTCTTTTCCGGAAAATTTCCGTAACTTCCTCGCCTGTGTGAACAGCGCTTTTTTGAATATACCGGTAAAGTCGTTCCGGAAATTTTCCGGATATTTACCGGTATCACTGTGTGAAAGGGGCTATTGTCATTCTTATCAGATGTGTGTGACGTCCCAAAATCTATTCCCAAAAGTCAGATAATTAGTTTTCACTCAGCCAACAGACATTTTAAAAGAATGGCTAGATTCCTTAGCTGATTAAATGTTTTTTATAATGGTTGATAACTTATACTAACCAAGCTGCAACAGCACAGGAGTGACAAGTGCGGTCTCCATGGCATAGCAGAACTCCCTCCCGAACATGACAGCACCGTGCATCACCCATAACCTCTTGGGAATGAGGGTCACAGAATCCTCGCTGGATGAGTCCTCTGACATCTCCACATCCTTCTCCTTTTCTGCGATTTGTCCACCATTCGGTTCTTTCTCCTGCATCACTGCCAGCTCCAGCACTGGAACAGGCTCGTTGACAGCATTTTTGGGTGCCATTCTGGCCTGCATAAACGAAGCTGTTTTGAGGTCTTGATCCAGAAACGGTTCCACTCACCCCTCACAAATCCAGATGCTATTATTTCCAGAGCTCCAAGCTGATCTTTCATAATCCTCTGAAGCTTTCTTTTGAACTATTTTAGCTCAATTATCTTATATATTTTAGGTCTAATGACTATTATAATGAACGCCAGTCCATATAGAGCTTTGTTGTAAATTACAAGTCAAGTTTTCATGAGCGGAAAAAGGGAAAAGAGGGAGGGAATGGAGAGCAGAACAGGTGGATGTTCCTCTTTGTTCCTCCATGGAATTACTTATTAATCTGAAAGAGAGAGAGAGAGAGAGATAGAATCATCGACGGAGGAAAAGAAATCTTGGCATTAACAACAAACATCCAGTGAGAGATCAAGGCAGTGGAAAAATGTCAGTGGAAAACAAGTTGGGAAAAATCCTGGCATTGCGACAGTAACCATGATTTCTGCAGAACTTATTTGGACTAGCTATAATCCCTGGAGAGGGAAGAATGAAATATTAAGAGTGACTAAAACAGGGAAAAGGCACTTACAAGTTGGTAAAATGTAGATCCTTATTCCTTAGAGAATCATTTAAGGCCCTAACTCATAAACAATATTACAAACACACACACACACACACGCACGCACGCACGCACGCACACACACACACACACACACACACACACACACACACACACACACACACACACACACACACAGACACACACACACACACACTTACAGATGCAACATAATATGCAATTTACATAGGTAATACACATGTAGAGTTCAGATTAGGGCTGTGCGATTAATCAAAATCAAATTGCAATTTAAAACGTTTAAATTAGCTTACCGCAAGAGGCTGCGATATGAAATATACATGTATTATACAATTTCCCCCACCCAGAGCAAATGAATGACTGCCAATTCACTGCAAATTAGACTACTGTCTGAGCTGGTGTATTTGCATGAAGTGATCTGATTGGCTGACACATCCATTGGCACTTGAAAAGTTGAGAAATTGCCAAATTCTGGAGTGAGCAATGCCTCAGAAACGGCACCAACAGATCCAAAATGCAATTTGGCAACGCCTGATGCTACCCATTTAAACTGAAAGGGAAGCGTTGACACTGACGCCCCATGTAAACTGGTATTAACACAATCAGTTAGGCCCAATCCCAGTTCTACCACTTAGCCCTTCCTCTTACCCCTCGTTTTACGCGTTCCTGTGAAGGGGGCTGGGGAATCCCAATCCTCTTTAGCTTGAAGGCGTAGGGCTAAGGGCAAGGAGTAGATATCACTTCGAACGAAGATTTTTTAAGACCACACTCTTAACCAAGGGATAAGAAAATTTCTTAGTATACACCAGCCACAGCTGCACCCAGAAGTAGGGAGATCCACAAACTAGTATTATTTTTGTCATTATTACAAACTTTTATGACAAACACGTTTTAATATATTCATCATCAGTAGATAACTAATGTCATAACTCACTACTGTTTGTGTGCCTTCCTCTAAGTGCCATCTGAAAATGTCCTTTTAAATTAGCATTTTTCTCAGCCTCCAGTGTTTATATTCAGTTATTTTACTTTAAAGGCAATGGAAATATCATATTCTTTACTACAAAAGAGAAATTACTGAAACTACACACAACATAGCCTGAGAAAAATGCTCAATTTCGAGGAAAATTTCATGCCACTTGCATCTGAACTCTTCACATATAATAAAAAAAAAAACACTTTTCTTAAAAAATAAAATGTCAAACAACGTCTTTAAAGTCTTTTTAAACAAGAAACCATTTTCTAAATACATTTAAGATGTCTTCAAGTGACTAAGTGAAGGTTAACAAGTAATCATTTTTTAAATTGCTGTCTAACACTGGCACCAGAAAGGGCTGGAGTGCATACTGTTGCTATAGTTATATGACCTCATGTTGTGTGCAAGATTGTTTGCGAATGTATATTAACCAACCTCAAGCTCTAAAACACTGTTTGAAAATGCTGATAAAGCATATAAGCCTATATTAAAAATAATAATATGTATTTTCACGTTTATTTACACCTGGTGATTAACGCCGCAAAACTGTGTGAAGTTCCAAAGGTCATTTTACACAAGCTACTATTACACAATCATGCAAGTTACTGTAAAATTTAACAGCACACGTGCAAGTACGAAAGACATTAGCATAAGAGTATTGCATAAAAGCAAACGGCAGATGTGAAGCTGATATCATGAGCCACTTCTAAAAAAAAAGAATGATTAGTTTTAATACAGCATTTTTATTTTGTTTTAATTTATAACAAAATCATCTATATATACACTACCGATCAAAAGTTTAGGGTCACTGGGATTTTTAAATGTTAAAAAAAAGCTTATCCTGCTCACCAAGGCTGCAGTTATTTAATCAAAAATACAGTACAAATTGTAAAATATTATTGTACTATAAAATAACTGTTCAAAAGTAGTTTAATATTTAATTTTATGATTTATTCCAGTGATCTTAAAGAAGAATTTTCAGCTTCATTACTCCAGTCGACAGTCACAAGTTCATTAATAATAATAATCATAATTACAAATTTTATTTGAAACTACATGAAAGCAGATTTAAAATTATAATAAATATTTAACAATTTGACATTTTTTTAAATTTAATAAATGCCGCCTTGATGAACAGAATAAATTTCTTAAAAAACAAAAACAAACTTTTGACCAATAGTTTTATTTTAGTAGTAGCCAATATATAGTTACTCAAAAATGTTGAATACTGTATATTAATGTGTAAACCAGTTGTTTTAATTCGACATAATAACAAAAGTGTATCACAGATTTTCTTTGTTAATTTAATGTCAAAAAGTAGTAAAAACTATTAACTACCATATATTTATACCATAATTAATAGAAGATGCACAATTATGTGTCATACTGAGTAACAGTAGTTTATAGACCAAAACACCTTGGTGTATTAAGAACAAGACATATTAATGACATATTAAAAGTACATTTGAGCAACATTGGACAGCCCTACTAATGTTTAGTAAATCCTTCAAACCTCCCAGGTATTGGCTATTTCAAATTTAACAACATTTAGTATTTATTTAAACATTTACAGGTCATTATAAGTGAGCAATTCCATGCAAATGTCAACCTTGCCATGAAAAAGTTTTCGCCAAAATATCGAAACTTTTTTTGTGTAAGTAAGCTAGTATTTTACGGTGCTTTAAAAATACTCAAAAATGTCTCTGTTACTGTTTTCAAATTATTATATTTGATTTACCAAAATCACACACATGCAAACTTTACATCCGTCATATCCATAATGGAGAGTATATCATCCATAACAGAGCTTTTTTCTTATAAATGCAAAAAAGTCAAATAAAATAAAATCAATCATGTTTGTTCTATAGAAACACAACTCTTATTCTTTTGATTAGCATTATTTCTTTTTAGTTGTGCAGTTAAATTCACAGAATTTCTACTAAGTATGCTGTATACAGTAAACTCACAGACGTTTTAGGTCACATCCATAACGCATGTTTTTTTTCCTCATTTAAAACATAAAATATAACTCTGTGGTCAGTAGTTTTGAAAAAATAAACGGATGTTTCAATATACGGTTAACATATACTTTGCCAATTTGTTTTAGGATTTTACTGCAAATGTCACACCCGTAACGCTGTAATTACTCATGTGTTATTTAATTACTAAATACATAAATATGTCAGTTATGCTGAATGATAACAGAATATTATTTCAGCTATATTTAGACATTTTATTTTTCAAAAGTTATTTGAAACATTATAGTACACAGTATGCTTTCAATGTATAAGAAAATCTGTTTCATAAACAAAACATAATACAGACACTTAAATACCTCAGCTTTTACCCAGACACCATACAAGAGTAACTGTACATGATGTACATATGTAAGTGTGCATTTCAAAAATTTAGTTAAAACCTCTCCAACATAAATAAAACATATCCTACCTCCTTCCTCAAGTACCATGCGTTTCATTTGATGCCTAAATCCTTTAAACACTCAAATACTGTCCCAGATAAAGCCAATCAGAAAGACTAGCGGACAAGCTGAAGTGACATACAGTGACCGTGAGTTATAAATGTCACTAGTTTTACATGAGGCTACATGAGGATCTCGTGATAACCGGCCGTCCCCTGTGCGCTGTGCTGATAAGGCAACACCCAGACGATTCTGGCAGGTAAACCTCACCCCAAAAGAGCCCAGGCCCGCTGTGACAGGGGTCAGGTGGACGAATTGACACCTGTGTCAATGTTTGACATGATATTGTGACACGGAGGAGAAAATTCGTGAGTTCTTATTGCGTAACGAAAAAGTGGCTTTCGCCGAATCACGTGCAAAAACACTTATAAGAAGCCTCTGATAAAGCTCAGGTCATGTCTAAACATGTACGGTCTTCCCTTGTTTGTTATTTGAAGTACGCCTGGAAACAAAACATGAATCCTTGTCATTTTCAGTTAACATCGTGAGATATTAATGTTAGACAGATATTTGACCTCGCTAGCTAAAATAAACGAACATATTATTACAAACTCTCCTTTAAAACCCCTTTCCCAAAGGTTTTTCTTCTTCTGGATTCAAAGGATTGCCAGATCATCAGACTGTTGCGTGCAGCCGTCCGCTATGAACTCTTGTTGATATTTTACCTCATACATACTATAATCACGTTACCAACTGTATTGTCTGGAAGAGTTAAGTGATCTGAGTGGAAATATTAACGAGTGACTTTTAATGAGTATGCATTTGGGATTTCGCTGAACTTTCTGTGAATCATAAGTCTGGTTAATGCTCGTTAGCTCGGACTGCTAGCCTGCTAATTAACTTGCTCTTTCGGTAAATTTAGCCGATACCTTCAGTTCACCAGCACGACGAGCGGTCCCTTTCATAAAAGACATGTCAATTTCTGGATTAAAAATAATTATCAGCATACATAAGCAAATGGAATAAGATGTTAAAGAGCCGAATGTACCTGCTCTCAGGTCGCGGATGTACTGCATCTATTGTCTGCTTGAGGTTGCCAGTCGTTCCGCTCTACAAATCCCCTCGTCGGCAGTGATGTAATCAAGCGTATTGCTGTCAAAATCTGTCAACTGTAACCTAGAAGCCATCATTTCTTATGTCATTCCGATTTATTCGTGTCATAAAGACACGACTTGTGTGATATTTATTATATAAGATAGTGTAACAATATAGACAACTGATAACATTCCTGAAAAGATTAGATAAAGTTCAGATAAAATACTACACTGAATATTAAACTTATGGAACTCGTTCAACCTGATTCTCTTAAAGGAATAGTTTAGGGGAAAGTCATAAGCCACACAGGTCTTCTCAGATTGGTAACACTAACTGTTAGTATGAATGGTATGAATCACCAATGACCTCAGCTAAAAGCAGGGGAAAACAACACATGCACTACACCAGGAGGACCTAATGGTACACTATTTTATCAGTGTTTGCTTGTTTATTGTGGGAGAGGGGGTGCACTGTCCCTTATACAGTAGGCTGTGTGTGTGTGTGTGTGTGTGTGTGTGTGTGTGTGTGTGTGTAAAATATGTTTTTAACATTGATTTGGTATGGTATTTGGTTTTGGTATTTTGGTATGGTCATTATAGTTAAAATAACAAGTTGCAAAGTTGAAGTCTCATAAAATCTACATCAAGCTATTTACAGTTTTGCTGATTAACAATCACAAATTCCAGTGGTTCGACATTCTAATGCCAACCATCTGAATCCCACACAGTTAACATGTGGGTTCTCATGCAGATCGGCTGTTCATATTCATTCTTTTCCCAATATCCAAAGCAATCACTGCCCCTGAAGCCTTGGAGCTTTTCTGGATGCTCGCAATGTCTCCACTCGTCTGCTCTCTCTCCTTATTTCTGAAAAACCTCTTCATAGTCGACTGAAAGTTACTAGTGACGAAACAGTAAACCACCGGATCCAAGCAGCTGTTGAGGCTGCTGAGAGTCACAGTGACATGATACACAATCACATGATGAGGAAGATCTGGGTGGAAATAAAAGAGAACCTGACGGACGTGAAACGGCGTGAAGCAGATGGTAAAGATCACCAAAACAGTCGACAGAAGCTGCATGGCCTTCATGCGTCTGTCGCGACTCTGCTGCATAAGGCCTGGACTGGAAAGAGCGCACACTATTCGTATGGTAAATGCTACAATGATCACCATTGGCAAGAAGAACTCAAATATGGTCAATGCAAAGAGTTTCGAAAGACCAGATTGCTTGAACGCCGTTGTTAAAAGCGAATATGTCACAACAATGGCGAACAACCAAATGCAAACGCAAACCGCTTTGGCTATATTGGGGTTTCTCCATTTTCTCGATGCTTCAGATTGAACGATGGCTAGGTAGCGATCCACGCAGATGCTGGTGAGGAAGAGGATGCTACAATACATGTTGACAAAGTAGCTGAATATGTGCATGTAAGAGCAACTGAGGCATTTTCCTCCACTGTAGTAGAGTACGATGCGAGTAGGGAGCGAAAGGTTGACCAATAGATCCGTCACCACCAGGTTAATGGTGTAGATGACCGATGTGGTTTTGGGTTTGGTTCTGTAGCAGAAAACGTACAAAGCCAGACTGTTGAGGGTCATGCCGACCATGAAGATGAGCGTGTTGATCACCACCAGAGCAATCCATAGGCTGTAGAAGTCATTATAGAGCCCCTCGTCTAAGTGGGCCAATCTGTGGAGGTAAGGCTCACGGTTTGGTGGAGAGGTGTTAGTGGCGAGGGTTGAGGTGAGGTTGAGGTTGGATGAACCCTCGGTATGGGTCATCTCTGTAGTTTGGATGCTGGATCTGGAGGAAGAAAGGTCAAATTGTGATTACATAAGAAGAATTTTAAACATGCTGTCAGTTTCTGTGGTCATGGGTTTTGTAATGCAGGTCATAAAAATAAATGACAGTTTTAAAGCAAGATACAGCAGAAAATGTTTTTATTTTTTTTACTGAGACAGGTGTACTGTATCTCTCAAATTGTGCAGGCAATGGTTCTTTCTTAACTAGATTACTGTTACTTGTTTGGTTAAGTGCATCAAGTAAAGGCTTGCATATATTACAGTTAGTCCAGAATAGAGCAGCACGACTAAATTAACACTTCAATAGAAAGGTTAATATTATGAAAATGCATAAAACTTTAGGTCGGTTATTGGTGAAGGATAATTGTGGGTAATTGTTTCTCTGTTGTGTTCAATAAGAAATATTTCTGTTTCAAGAGATCCAAGTTTATTGTACTGCCAACTTTTGTATAGTAATGCTAGTCATAATTTTAACACCAGGCATGCAACAAAAGGATTTTTTTGCTTCCTGTTTTAAAAAACTAATGCAAAGCAATGGACTGCAATGTATAGTGGAATGAAAACATGGAATTAATTGCCATAAGACATTACATGCTTTGTAACAAGTAAAATGAGGTTTAAGAAATTGTTGAAGAAGTGGACTGTTGATCTGGATGTTATGTATAAATTTGGGGTTCCATGTATAGGTCTTTGTTGTTATGGATTAATGTAGTTTTGTTTTGTGTCCGATTGACCCCAGGAAGAATAGCCACTACCTTGGTAAAAAATTTAGATTTTTTAGTGTATTGGAAGAAAACATACAAAATTCAACATACAAAATTCAAGTGTTTCTTTCAAAACACACAATTAATTGTTTACACTTTTATTCGGTCTATACTCTAGTTAGAAGTTTTTTTTCTTTTATTACAGAGGAATATGTCTATACTTAATTGTGTAGCATTTGCTCTACAAAAAAAATATTAATTTTATTTTCTAAGAATTTTTATGTTAACCACTATTTCCCCATAGTTGCCCATTATTGGAAACAAGAGAAAATTAAGTTATTTTTAACCACTTAACCTTTTTGTGTGTGTTCAGATGGCAAACTTATAAAAACTAGTCTTGAACTGCTCAAATTAAGTCCACTACGGTAAGATTTTATTTTGATGGTCCCTATTACTCATTTTGTAAACCAAAAGTTGCGTTGCAACAATATGCCAATTAATTGTCACTTGAGTATTAGTAGACTGCCTGCTTAAAATCTGTTGATACTGCTCCTTCAACAGACATTTAACTGACTATAAGAAACTTTGCAAGTACATGTCAACTTACCCTAACCCTAACCCCAACCTAACAATCTACTTAGAATCTAATGAGATTTAGTTGGCATGCGTAGATGTATTGTAACTTAAATTCAACAAAATGCATTAAAGGGACCATCAAAATAAAGCGACTTAAAAGAATGTAATGATTTATTAATTAAAGAAACTTATACCGATTAAATTAATACATACTTAATTAAATAATGACTTCTTTGCATATTTAATATGATGTTTTTAAAAACTTGCAATACAATATGGTGATCACAGCTAGTTTACTTTTTAACCAACTCCAAAAATGACGTTTACTGTTTGTTCAAACTACTTATTTAAAATGAGCTGAAGCTTGACATTTTAAAAATTTGTTTAGGAAAAATAAATGTTTTATGTTCAATCCACTTTAAATTGCAAAAACTAATAAATGAACTTAATTTCTTCATGCTGTCCCACTACAAATTGATTGTGTGGAACCCAGCATTTATTACATTGTATATCCACCTGCAGTGTCTCGCATTAAAACTGTGTGTGTTTCAGCATTTCAAAGCCTTGTCACATGGTACAATGTGGCATCATGGAAAATTGCCTGCAAAAACAAATATGCTCTCCTTCCATCGCAGGAAGAATGAGCCTGATAAACAAACAGCCTGGAAGCGAAGAGGTGCCTACGGTCTAGCACAGTTCACAACGAGATGTGTTTATCATTAAGACTAATGGGAAGGATATTTATTTGGATACTGAGATTCGTGGGAATAGACGTCCATCTCACTATTGCGCAAACGAATCCTGAGCAGCGTCTGAAAGCGTCAGACTTCTGGCTCTTTTGCATGTTTATTTACTTGGGTCTCTGCTCAATTTACATCTTAATTGAAAAGGCAGAACAATATACAATATTTATTGACCAAAATGAAGTTGTTTAGACATCAGGGACGAAGCTCGACTGAATGAATTTAAATATTTGAAGAAGGTCACGCTCTGTTGTATAATTAAAATGAATCCTCACTCAATAAATTTTCACTTTAAGACAAGAAATGGCAGGTGAATAGAGTAAAAAAATAAACTATAGTTTATAAACACAGTCGATTTATTATATTCATAATTGTATGCATATTTGTGTATTGTATCTTTTTTAAGATTTTATGTTATAATTATTAATATTATAAATAAATTAGGAGATTATGTGCTCATTTGTAAAGCACAAAAGTCTGAATATTGCAGAAATGTAAATTATTAGATCTTTTTAGTGTCAAATTAATTTACGAGGGAGTTTTAGAATTGTGTTTATTATTTCATACTTACTAAAATAAATACATTTTTATTTATTAAATATTTATAATAGGTTTATTTTACGATGGAATTTTGGTTACAATCAAGCTAATTTTGTATGAACAAATTCCTCTTTAACAGTAAGTGTTGCTAAAGTGCAAATGTATTGCTCAGTGCAGGAAAAAAGTACAAATATGTATTGTGAGTGAAATCAAATACAGACATAAACTAATAACCTGTAACAGGAATATATTTTGGATGTTTTCTTTACATTAAACAACAACTAAAAACTTAATGAAGAGCCTTTAACACAGATTCTTTTGCAGTTTCACAGTGACACTGAAAATCCACATGAAGTGATACAAAAGGATGACGATTGAATAGTAAATCAATTGTTTGCGAGAGAGATGGTGAGAATTATTGAATTATTGCTCCTGTCTAGAAAAGTATATTCGTCATCAAAAACCTGAATCTCAGATTTAAAGGGATTGCCGTTCTCCAAGACATCAACAAAACTAATGGGCCTCTCTGAGAGACAGTGATGCATTAATGCTGTCCAAATAAATATCTCTGTGTGAGTCGCCGGCACAGCTTTTGATGTATGCCAAAACATGTTTTCCAAAGATACGGGAAGAGTTGGGAAAGGCAGAATGTAGTCACATCCAAAATATTATTAAAACACAGATATTTATAACATATTTTATATATATATATATATATATGTATGCAAATTGTACATTTAGTATATGGTAAATGACTAGAAATTAAACCAAAGAAATTGGGAAGTTGGATTTTAACGTAAACATAAATGTCTAATAATACATTGCCTATAATTAAATAATAGTGTATATATAATTCTATTACAAATTTAATGTAAATTGTTTTTTAAACATTGGATTTTCTGAGTTAATCAGTAATTGTAGTAATCTATTAATTACTACAAACAATTACACGAATTCAACTGGTGATGAATTACATGTATTTTAGCTTAAAAAGTTTACAAAGACTTAAAATTGCAAGGCAAACATGACATGATAAGAAAGGTTTACAATATATAATGTACAGAACAAAAAGCAAATATGATTGCTTACCTACACATGTGGAAAGATGCAGTTGGTCTGGAGCATCAAACAGAAATGTTAAAATGAGGGCCAACGATCTGACACTCAGATGACACCCAAAGAAAGAGCCTTAAATGATGGAAAGCAAATCCCCTGTGCTAAAAACATGCTGACCATCTTCACCTCAAAAAAGCAAGAGAAAGTCAGTCTCTCAACCCTATCTGTGCTGCATGTCTCTTTTTCTGCCTCTTTCTGTCTGTTTCACTCTTTTTTTTTTTTTTGTTTCCTTCCCTCCCTTCATCCTCTGGCTCACAGGAAGCTGCCGTTAGTTTGGATAAACCCTAACATCACAAACACTGGATTCTGGGTTGTAATACGCGTCAATTTGATTGTTTTTTTTTCACTGTGGGTCATTAAAATAATATTCAACATACTTAAAATAAAATGCAGGTTTTTATTTTGGGGAAAAAAAACATTTAGATTTAAATGAATTAGCACTAGGGGGCAGTATAGAGATGAACAAAATTCATACACTCACCGGCCACTTTATTAGGTACAATTTATTAATTATTAACTTCTTGTTAACCTTTCTAATCAGCCAATCACATGGGAGCCACTCAGTGCATTTAGGCATGTAGACATAGTCAAGATGATCTGCTGCAGTTCAAACCAAGCATCAGTATGGAGAAGAAAGGTGATTTAAGTGACTTTGAACATGCCATATTGTTGGTGCCAGACAGGCTGGTCTGAGTATTTCAGAAACTGCTGATCTACTAGGATTTTGGCACACACGTCACACGATGTCCAGGGTTTACAGAGAATGGTCCAAAAAAGAAAAAATATCCAGAAAGCGGCAGTTCTGTGGGCGCAAAAAACAATTTATGCAGAAGAGCATCTCTGAATGCACAACACGCCGAACCTTGAGGCGGATGGGCTACTGCAGCAGAAGACCACACTGGGTGGTACTCCGGTCAGCTAGCAACAGGAAGGCTACAAAACAAACAAGCTCACCAAAATTGATCAATAGAAGACTGGAAAAACGTTGACTGATGAGACATTTGGTCGTTAGTGTCAGGATTTGGCATCAAAATTATGAAAGCATGGCTCCATCTTGCCTTGTTCAGGCTGGTGGTGCTGTAATGGTGTTGGGGATATTTTCTTGGCATATTTTGGCCCATTAGTACCAACTGAGCATCATGTCAACACAACTTTCTACCCGAGTATTGTTGCTGACCATGCCCATCCCTTTATCACCGCAAGTTGGTTACTTCCAGCAGGTTAACATGTCATGTCATAAAGCGCGAATCATCTCAGACTGATTTTTTGAACATGACAATAAGTTCACTGTATTCAAATGGCCTCCACAGTCACCAGAACTCAATCCAATTTCACCTTTGGGATGTGGTGGAACAGAAGATTCGAATCATGGATGTGCAGCTGACAAATCTGCAGCAACCGCGTGATGCTATCATGTCAATACGGACCAAAATCTGTACCTTGTTGAATCTATGACACAAAGGATTAAAGCAGTTCTTAAGGCAAAAGGGGGTCCAACATGGTACTAGCAAGGTGTACCTAATAAAGTGGCCGGTGAGTGTATCTTTAATTCAATTAATTTATCAGTCAAACATATTTTAAGGGTTTTTATGGATAAGGAATCAATTCTGACCTACAGTAATCTTCAATGGGCTATCTCAGAATGGTTACGTTTGTGTTCCTGCACTAATTTAAAAGGATGAGCATAAAATAGCACACTCACTGTAGGCCAAGAACTTTTGCGCAAGCATATATGTCTAAGAACACACGCTATGAATATAATTTGACTTTACTTTAAGGCTGTATGTAGATACAAACACATCATTTACTATATAAGTGTGTTTTAAATCTGCGCTGCTGCCTGTTTTAGGCCACCGACTAAATATTTTCCCTTATCCCTGCTGGGCGTGATCATGCATTGGAAATGGTATGAAAATGGTATGGTAAATTTATTTTAAGGCTATTAGCTATTTTTTTTCTGAAAAAAAAAACTTTAATTGCTACAAAATTTGCATTAAAGCTTGATGAAAAGTCTTAAACTGTATATAACAAAACCAAACCCTAATCCCTTATTCAGACTCGTTTCTGTAACTGTGAATAGCAAAAAAGTAAACTGTGAACATTATAACCCCCAAAAAATCATTGTATCATGAAATAAAAAGCAACAGGGAGTTGCTGCTGAAGTTAGTCTAGAAACAATATTGAAGATCAGGGTTTTGAAGCCTTGTCATTGTTAAAAGTGAACAACAACCTATTGATAGCTCTGTTGTCAAACTTACAATTGCCTTACTTATTTTTGGTTGATTGTAATTCATATTGTATCGTTCTATCAAAATAATTTGACATTATTCAGATCAATTTGTTCTGGCACACTTAAACTCTGAACTCTTGTCATATTTTATTACCAATTTCTAAACTATAATGAATAAACTGTGATATTGTGAGAAACGTTATAGTTGTCTCAATAATTTTTTGATATGACTGCTTAAATCTAAAACTTTCCTAAGATATTCTGAGAGGTGTCAGAATGGCAGAAAGATAGCAGGAATGAAAGAGCAGGATGTATTAATATGGTTTTTCCACATTTCCTGTCTGGAAACTCATCCATCAGCATCTGCCAGAGATCCGTCCTGATGTTTCCGAAATTTCTCCAACCAAAGATATGAAGTCTGCAAGCTGAATTATGACCGAGAGTGAGTTTGAATCATTGGGTCTGTGTTCTGTCCTTTGTCTCCACAGAGTTTAACAGCATTGGAAGCATGTGAATCATATTTGTATGTGGCATTTATAGTATACGCTCATAAACTCTTGAAAGTTACACACACACACTGTATTCAGTAGTACTTTGAGCCCTGGTGGTCACTAAATAACAGCTGTCAACCATTAGAGAATGTTGTCTCTGTAAAGATGTTGTTCTAAAGGTCAAATTGTAACTTAGAAATACGAACAAAATGTTACTGTCTCTCAAACCAATTCCGATCTGGATGTTCTGGCTCTAATGACTATTTCAAACAGGAGATTTATGATTGTTTTTTTCTTTCCAGAAGTAGGTCACTAGGTGGATGGGTTAGATCAAATCTGAAGGTTTATGAATCCATCACAACAACATCATCAAATCTTTTCAATCTAGATGTAATATAAGGGCATCAAGGCCAGAAACTACACTACACTCACCAGCCATTTTATTGGGTACACCTATCCAACTGCTCGTTAATGCAAATTTATAATCAGCCAATCATATGGCAGCAACTAAATGCATTTAAGTATGAAGACATGGTCCAGACGATCTGATGTTTAAAACGAGCAACAAAATGGGGAAGAAAAGTGATTTAAATGATAATAATAATAATTACTTAAATTTATATAACGCTTTTCTAGACACTCAAAGCGCTTTAAACAATGGGGTAATCTCATCCACCACCAGCGTGCAGTATCCACCTGAATGATGTGATGGCAGCCATATTGTGCCAGACTGCACACCACACACCTGCTGATTGGTGAAGTGGGGACAGAGTGATGAAGCCAATTATGACATGGGAAGGGTTAGGAGGCCATGATGGACAGAGGCCAGTGGGCAAATTTGGCCAGGATGCTGGGGTTAAACCCCTAGTCTTTTATGAAGGACATCTTGGAATTTTTAATAACCACAAAGAGTCAGAGCCTCGCTTTAATGTTTCATCCGAAAGACGGCATGCACTTTAGAGTCTCCATCAATAACCTGGGCGTCAGGACCCACATAGACTGCTGGTCTCCCTTCCAGACACTGACCGGGCACAGCCCTGCTTAGCTTCAGTGGGTGACAATGTTAGAGCTGCAAAGAGCTAGCTGCCGGCTAACTTTGAACGTGGCATGGTTGTTGGTGCCAGACAGGCTGGTGTGAGTATTTCAGAAACCGCTGATATACTGGAATTTTCACGCACAACCATCTCTAGGGTTTACAGAGAATGTTCCTGTGGCGAGGGGGCGTGACCGAGAGCCGTGGGAACGGGGTGAGGCCACCGCGTAAGTGGATACACCTGTGGTGCGCACCTGCCTCGGATCCCACGGAAGGAGCTCTGGACCATAAAAGGAGGACCGATGGCAGAGGAAGGCGAGAGAGGACCGGGCCCGGGCATATTGTTTTACTTTTGCTTTCAGTTTGATGGCAGTCTCCGTGAGGAGCTGCCATCCGTTTGTTTTGGTTTAGACGGCAGCCTCTGTGAGGAGCTGCCGTCATTGTTATTAATAAATATTTTAAACCTGCGTCGGTTCTCCGCCTCCTTCTACCAAAGGGCCGTAAACCTCATTACAGTTCCAAAAAGAGAAAATATCCAGTGAGTGGCAGTTCTCTAGGTGCAAATGCCTTGTTGATGCCAGAGGAGAATGGCCAGACTGGTTCGAGCTAATAGAAAGGTAACAGTAACTCAAATAAGCACTTGTTACAACTGAGGTATGCTGAAGAGCATCTCTGAATGCACAACACGCCAAACCTTGAGGTTGTTGAGGCTGATGGGCTACAGTAGCAGAAGACCACACCGGGTGCCACTCCTGTCAGCTAAGAACAGGAAACTGACACTACAATACACACAGACTCGCCAAAATTGAACAATAGTAGCTTGGAAAAACATTGCCTGGCCTGATGATTCTCAATTTCTGCAGTGACATTCGGATGGTAGGGTCAGAACTTGATGTCAACAACATGAAAGTATGGATCCATCCTGCCTTGTATCATCAGTTCAGGCTGGTGGTGGTGGTGTAATGGAGTGGGTGATATTTTCTTGGCACACTTTGGGCCCATTAGTACCAATTGAGCATCATGTCAATGCCACAGCCTACCCTGAGTATTGTTGCTGACCATGTCCATTCCTTTATGACCAGTATGTACCCATCTTCTGATGGCTGCTTCCAGCAGGATAACACGCCATGTCATAAAGCGTGAGCCATCTCAGAATGGCCATACTCAAATGGCCTCCACAGTCACCAGATCTCAATCCAATAGAGCACCTTCGACAAATCTGCAGCAATTGCAAGATGCTATCATGTCAATATATCAAAATCTCTAAAGAATATTACCAGTGCCTTGCTGAATCTATGTCACAAAGGATTAAGTCAGTTCTGAAGGCAAAAGGGGGATCCAACCCTGTACTAGTAAGGTGTACCTAATAAAGTGGCCGATGAGTGTATTTAACCTATGCAAATTAAGGTAAAAAGATGACTTATTGGAACACTCTTTAAAAAAATCAAGGTTATTTATTGCCATTGATTGTTCAATAATTGTTTCTGAAAACTTCCACTTAACAAAGCCTATTTTAAGAGAGATGGGTTATGTATCAAAAAAGTTACAGAATACAGTTTCTTTCTTTCTTTCTTTTTTTTAAATTCTCTACTTTTTATCTTTCATAAATATCCAACTGAGGCAAGTTGTTAGATTGTTGAATGTTATACATTAACGTTATAGTATTTGTTGTTGACCAAAACAATGGTTTCATATCAGGATTTTGACTTTTACATGATTTTATTTTCGCTTCATAATTTTA